CCACCTTGTCTCTCTCCTGAGGAATCTGTACAAGGACCAAGTAGCAACAGTCAGAACTGACCACGGAACAACTGACTGGTTCAAGATTGGGAAAGGCGTACGGCAAGGCTGCATACTCTCACCCAACCTTTTTAACTTGTATGCAGAACACATCATGCGATTTGCGGGGCTTGATGAATGCAAGGCTGGGATTAAGATTGCTGAAAGAAACATTAACAACCTCAGATATGCAGATGACACCACTCTGATGGCCGAAAGCGAGGAGGAGCTGAGGAGCCTTCTAATCAAGGTGAAAGAGAAAGCGCAAAAGCCGGGTTGCAGCTAAACGTCAAAAAACCAAGATTATGGCAACAAGAATGATTGACAACTGGAAAATAGAGGGAGAAACCGTGGAGGCCGTGACAGACTTTGTATTTCTAGGTGCAAAGATTACTGCAGATGCAGACTGTAGCCAGGAAATCAGAAGACGCTTATGTCAGGGGAAAACCTTTACCTTTACCTTTAGAGACATCACACTGTCAACAAAGATCCGCCTAGTCAAAGCAATGGTATTCCCTGTAGTAACCTACGGATGTGAGAGCTGGACCTGAGGGAAGGCTGAGCGAAGGAAGAGAGATGCCCTTGAACTGTGGTGTTGGAGGAAAGTTCTGAGAGTGCCTTGGACTGCGAGAAGATCCAACCAGTCCATCCTCCAGGAAATAAAGCCCGACTGCTCACTGGAGGGAAAGATACTAGAGACAAAGTTGAAGTACTTTGGCCACATCATGAGGAGACAGGAAAGCCTAGAGAAGACGATTATGCTGGGGAAAGTGGAAGGCAAAAGGAAGAGGGGCCGACCAAGGGCAAGATGGATGGATGGCATCCTTGAAGTGACTGGACTGACCTTGAGGGAGCTGGGGGTGGTAACGGCCGACAGGGAGCTCTGGCGTAGGCTGGTCCATGAGGTCACGAAGAGTCGGAGACGACTGAACGAATGAACAACAACAACAACATTAGGAAGGTTGAGAAACACTGATCTACACTATAGAATGAATGCAGTTTGGCACCATTTTAACTGCATGGCCCAAAACTATGGAATCAGGGGAGTTGTAGTTTTTCAAGCTCTTTTGGCCTTCTCTGCCAATAATGCTGGTGCCTAATCAAACTACCACTCCAAGGATTCCATAACATTGAGGCATGGCACTTAAAAGTGATGTCAAACTGCATTCATTCTACAGTGTAGATGCACCACTTGAGTTGTGGTGACGCAATGGGTTAAACCTTTGTGCTGGCCTAACTGCTGACCTGAAGGTTGGCAGTTCAACTCTGCAAGACTGGGTGAGCTCGTGTTCTGGCATGGCTGTGCCAGGAGATTTGAATTTTTTTCTTGCACTATTAGTTTGCATGAATCTATTCCAGCTATGCTTTTTTTGCAATTGGGTAGCTTTCCTCAGGTTGCAATCATAGGGCCAACAACCTATCAAGCATCATTAGAGCCTTTAGATCCGCCCCTTTCCCCAGGTTTTGGAGGAGAAAAGGGACTTTTAGTTCAGTCTCACAGTTTGGAGCCCTACAGTAGGATGTGTGGGCTTTTCTCTACCCCAACTGTAAAAAGCTTCGCTTCTTACAGCTCTGCCAGGGTTAAAGAAATAGATCTACAGCCAGCTTTGGCTGGGGGAAAAGGAAAAGCTCTACAGCTTTGCTGGAGAGTAAAGTTACAGTTCCACAGCCTTCGTGGAGAAACTAAAAGGACACCAGCTTGCCAGATCTGCAGCAACCATTGCCTGGTAAGGGACCACTCGGGCTATCCATAACACAGCTTGGAGCCGGGAGTTGGGGCCTCACGCCAGCAGGGTTAAGAAAGATTGCCCAAGGAGGGGTTGGAAGGTTTCCCTAAAGAAGATAGGAACAGTTTATCAAGCAGTTGCCTGTCCCTTGTCAGCAGATTGAGAAAGCTACCACGTTTTCAAGATTATATAGCATTTTGTTCATTTGTTTGAAGATTTAAGCCTTAATAAAGAACTTTGTTGGACTTATTTCAAGCCTCTACAGAACTTTGCTTTGGGAAACCTAAGGGACCCTTTACCCGTTGGGCACACAGAAAGCACGTCCTACAAACAGACATTATCATAGACCCACCGCGTGACAGCACATCCAGTCTGTCAGCCCCAACTTCCCATGTGGGGACATGAGAGAAGCCTCCCACAGAATGGTAACACATCCGGGCGTGTCCTGGACAACGTCCTTGCAGATAGCCAATTCTCTCACACCAGAAGCGACTTGTAGTATATTCTCAATTTGCTTCTGACATGATAAAAAAAACCCCACTGGATAGGGAGGTTGAACCCCAATTAATCTTCTGCCAGCCTGTTTTTTGCACCTGCTTTTAAAATGTCCTAGTTGGCCTGGAATAGATAACGAAGAGGTTGCGTGGCTTGGCATCTTGGTCATTGAGATACCAATGAGAAAAATATGCCCCAAACACTTTTGGACTGGGGAATTAAAATATTCAGAACACTACTCAAGTGGCTCTGAATGGAAATTGAAACCAGAGGGAGAGACGCCTTCGAAACCCGTCTTATCAATGTACTCGCTGCAGGAAGGCAGCATTTTCCAGATTGAACAGCAGGCCTCTTTCCTTCGCAGGGGCTTGTGAACCGCATGCGAGAGCAGATGAAACAGCAGCATTTTGTTCAGGCCACAGCTGGGAGCGGGAGCGAGAGTAAACCCTTAAGTGCCATCATTTGCAAAACAATTAATGTTACGTGGCAGGTAGGGGACTGCAGCAGGCAGCAGAAGCTTTCTGCAGATGGATATTTCGTTGGCTTAGAGTGCTCAAGTGCTATTAGAACGGGGGAGCAAATCCCCCCCAACCAATATTGGAAATGGCAGGGGTCATGTGTTTATCTGGAATTATGAATGTCATGATCACCACCATGGTGGCAACTTGCTAGCTAGGAAGTAGCAGCAAAAGCACATTTGACTGGGACAAGATGAGTATCAAAGGATTCTGACAAGTATATATGGGAGGCGGAAATGTAGTGTCTAGATTGGTAGGGCCAGCATATAGAGCAGGCATGGGCAAACTTTGGTCTTCCAGGTGTTTTGGACCAACTCCCAGAAATCCCAGCCAGCTTACTGGCTGTTAGGAATTGTGGGAGTTGAAGTCCAAAATACCTGGAGGGCCAAAGTTTGCCCATGCCTGATCTACAGTATAGAATTGATGCAGTACATAGAATCATAGAATAATAGTATCAAAGAGTTGGAAGAGACCTTCTGGGCCATCCAGTCCAACCCCATTCTGCCAAGAAGCAGGAATATTGCATTCAAATCACCCCTGACAAATGGCCATCCAGCCTCTGCTTAAAAGCTTCCAAAGACGGAGCCTCCACCACACTCCGGGGCAGAGAGTTCCACTGCTGAACGGCTCTCACAGGCAGGAAGTTCTTCCTCATGTTCAGATGGAATCTCCTTTCTTGTAGTTTGAAGCCATTGTTCCGCGTCCTAGTCTCCAGGGAAGCAGAAAACAAGCTTGCTCCCTCCTCCTCCCTGTGGCTTCCTCTCACATATGTATACATGGCTATCATGTCTCCTCTCAGCCTTCTCTTCTTCAGGCTAAACATGCCCCGCTCTATAAGCCGCTCCTCATAGGGCTTGTTCTCCAGACCCTTGATCATCTTAGTCGCCCTCTTCTGGACACGTTCCAGCTTGTCAATATCTCTCTTGAATTGTGGTGGCCAGAATTGGACACAATATTCCAGATGTGGTCTAACCAGCCACCTTAAAAACTCTGGCATAGACACTGAAAACTGGGAAGCCCTGGCCCTTGACCGCTCCAGCTGGAGGTCAGCTGTGACCAGCAGTGCTGCAGAATTCGAGGAGGCATGAGTGGAGGGTGAAAGAGAGAAATGTGCCAGGAGGAAGGTGCGTCAAGCCAACCCCGACCGGGACCGCCTTCCACCTGGAAACCAATGCCTTCACTGTGGGAGAAGATGCGGATCAAGAATACGGCTCCACAGCCACCTACAAACCCACAACAATAGTAATGAAGGAAGACCATCTTACTCGTCCAACGAGGGATCGCCTAAGTAAGTAAGTAACCAAAGCGGAATAGAGGGGCAGCGTTACTTCCCTAGATCTAGACACTATGCTCCTCTTGATGCAGGCCAAAATCCCATTGGCTTTTTTTGCCGCCACATCACATTGTTGGCTCATGTTTAACTTGTTGTCCACGAGGACTCCAAGATCTTTTTCAGATGTCCTGCTCTCGAGCCAGGCATCATTGTCCCCCATTCTGTATCTTTGCATTTTGTTTTTCCTGCCAAAGTGGAGTATCTCGCATTTGTCACAGTTGAACTTCATTTTGTTAATATTGGCCCATCTCTCCAATCTGTCAAGATTGTTTTGAATTCTGCTCCTGACCTCTGGAGTATTGGCTCTTCCTCCCAATTTGGTGTCCTCTGCAAACTTGATGATCCTGCCTGTATGGCCATGTTCTAGAGGCAATTTTTCCTGACGTTTCGCCTGCATCTATGGCAAGCATCCTCAGAGGTAGAGGTCCATTGGAAGTAGGAAAATGGGTTTATATATCTGTGGAATGACCAGGGTGGGACAAAGGACTCTTGTCTGCTGGAGCTAGGTGTGAATGTTTCAACTGACCACCACCCTGGTCATTCCAGAGATATATAAACCCATTTTTCTACTTCCAACAGACCTCACTACCTGTGAGGATGCTTGCCATAGATGCAGGCAAAACATCAGGAGAAAATGCCTCTAGAACATGGCCATATAACCCGGAAAAACCTACAACAACCCAGTGAAGCCTTCGACAATACATTTAGTATACATATTTTGTAAATAAAGATAAAGTACCGCTTTTGTTGAAAGCTGAACTGATGAGTCTGGTGTTTTTCCAACTTAGTGCCTTCAAGAAGAACTTGCAAGGTCGAAGCAGCTGAGATAAAAACCGTGATTTATCTCAACTTTTTTTGTTAGACACAACAATAACAAGAGGAGAGAACAGAGGTCTAATCCTTTATTGGCAGAAGTGGAAAGGGGGAGGACGCCTGCCAATTATCCTGCTGCCTCTGCAGTGGAGACGCTTGTAATACTGGAAAAACCCTAGGCAGAGTGGCCTCTGGGAGAGGACACCTGCCTTACCCAACCAGTCCTGAGCAGAAGGCAAAGAGGGAGGCGCTCCAGCTCCTCCAAGGAAAGCACCACACCAACACCTGCTCTGCCAGCAAAAAAGGTTTGGGCCCCAAAAGGTCAGTCTTTAATGCAGATGTAAAAAGAAAGAAATCCTTGGGGAGGTCAAGGAACTAGATCATCCTGCACATCTTTCCCAACCAGGACAAATGGCAGGGTGCCATATGAAGACCCCCAATGCCACACTTTCTCAGGGCCGGATGGAGCAGGAGGAGCTGAGTGCTGTAACCCCCTCGCTTCCTCCTCCTCCTCCTCCTCATAGTGCGATCTTGGTATTTCGGAAGCTTGAATTATCCCTGGAAAACAAAGGAAGAAAGGAGATTAGGACACAGATCAAGTAAAACAGGGCAAGCTGTGTTTGGCCTATGGGGCTTGAAGGCAAAGCTATTGAAGGTTGCCTATTGAACTAGAACTAGAAAGGTCTGAATTCATATTGTTGCTCAGCCTTGACATTTGTTTGATGACTTCTAACATATCATTCTGCATAAATCACAAGATTGTTTAAGGAGAAGGAAACATGAATACAGTCAGGAGCTCCTTGGAGGAATTTTGTTGTAGAAAACACAAGTTCTCTTGAAACCCAACTCCAAAAAACAAAAGCCAACTCCTGAAACAAAGATAGGAAAAATGGAGGCATCCCATGCTTCTGAGCCAGTTTTTCTCTGTAGACTATGATATGGCTGGGTCCCAGGAGTGAAAAATCTGCCCAAAACAAAAGGGTGATTTGTGCCATCACTAGAACATTAAGTAAATTGTCCTTGAAGTCTCCATGTGCAGGTTTAAGCCTCTCACAAGTTTAAGAGCAGAGGGCAAGGAGAGAAATGGGAATTCTCATTAAGCCCTTTCCTTCTTATCTTATCTAATGGTACTGTTGGGTCACCAACACATGTCTGGTGTGATCCAAATGCTCTGATGAAGCAGGCATCATACTCCCTGCTGGGCCACTTTCTATCCATGGGATCAGTTATTGCACATCCAACAAAATATGTTCTGCCTAGGTATTTTTAGGTTCCCCAGCACAACTCTATGACATTCTTGGGCCAGAAGTCCTCACTTCAGTAGGGTTTGATGTTCTCCACAGTTTCACATATTCATGTGAAGTCTGAGAATGTATCCACCGTGGATAAGGGGAATGTATCCACCGTGGATAAGGGGGTCTTACTGTACACCAGGGGTCCTCAAACTTTTCAAACAGAGGGCCAGGTCACAGACCCTCAAACTGCTGGAGGGCCAGATTATAATTTGAAAAAAACATGAATGAATTCCTACGAACACTGTACATATCATATTTGTAGTGCAAAACACTTAAAAAAATACAATAATTAAAATGAAGAATTTCAACAAATATAAAATTATTAGTATTTCAATGGGAAGTGTGGGCCTGCTTTAGGCTGATGGGATAGGATTGTTGTTGTTGTTGTTGTTGTTGTTGTTGTTGTGTGCTTTCAAGTTGTTTCAGACTTAGTTTGACCCTGAGCGAGGGCCGGGCAAATGACCTTGGAGGGCCGTATTCAGCCCCCGGGCCTTAGTTTGAGGACCCCTGGTGTACACAAACAAGCGCCATTTCTGAATTTTGCACAGAACCTTGTTTACTGGAGCTGTTGATCTACTCAGATCATAGTTCCCCTAACTGTATAACTTGGGAACCTTCCACATTACACAAATTCTAGCCTTTGATGCCCCTTTAACCATCACGGTTGCATCAGATGGAAAGTTTTTTTTAGTTCTGTGAATTGCCTGTCAGAGGGCTTCAAACTACAAATTCCACAATTGTGTGTGTGTGTGGTGGGGGGTTACAGTTGTGAGTTAAAGCAGCATCAAAATGTCATTAACTGTGTAGCATTTAGGGACTGCAGAGCAGCATTCTCATCTCCTTTGGGGTAATAATAATAATATATATTTTTTGTCATGTCAGAAGCGACCTGAGAAACTGCAAGTCGCTCCTGTTGTGAGAGAATTGGCCGTCTGCAAGGATGTTGCCCAGGGGACGCCCGGATGATTTGATGTTTTTATCATCCTTGTGGGAGGCTTCTCTCATGTCCCCGCATGAGGAGCTCGAGCTGATAGAGGGAGCTCATTTGCCTCTCCCCTGATTCGAACCTGTGACCTGTTGGCACAGAGCTTTAACCCACTGCGCCACCAGGGGCTCCTAATAATAATAATAATAATAATAATAATAATAATAATAATAATATTTATTTATTTATACCCCGTCACCATCTCCCCAAAGGGGACTCGGGGCAGCTTACATGAGGCCAAGCTCGATAACACATTACAGCAAAATAAATACAGAACGACAAAAATAACATCGCAATAAATACGTTATTTTATTGTGATGTTAGGGTGGATGGACCAAGAAATGTATGGGCAGGGAAAATATTTCCTATGCAGAATCTAAACACCACTAAGAAGGACCTAAATGATTTTCAGAGGGAGGAATTCAATCCCAACTCTCCACTGGATTGGATGAAAAGGCTGAGAGGTTTGTGAAGGTGACCTCTCTGAATGGTGGCCATTGTACCTTCATTCTCCTGGTAGTTGTTGAAGCAAAAAGAAGCTCCCTAGGAACTATGGGAGTCTGGCCACAGTTCAAATATTCCTGAATGCCAATATAAGGCACTCACATCTGCAGAAGGCGATAAAACCTCTATCTCAATACTGCATTGAGATAAATTGAACTGGGGGCTTTGCTGGATTTTTTGGTCTTTATTCTTGGTTGCTCCCATTAATGGGTTTTAGTGTTTCAACGGTCAGCCGCTGCTGGCTCTCTGGGTAACACAACCCAAGGCTTCTGTTGTAATCCAAGAGGACTTGGCTATCTGTTCAGAGGAAGAATTTGGCAAAGGAGGACAGCTTTGTGTTCGGGAAGGTCACCGGAGAGCCTTTCTAATAATAGAGACCATTTTCAGGCAGGGCTTCAATCAACATTGTCATCCTGTTGGCTCTGCGCTTAAAAATGAGCGAACACACAAGGCTCAGGGACACAAGGGCCAATGCTCCAAGCCTGCTTTTGTCAAGGAGATGGACTGAGCAGATCAAATAACACTAGTTCAAGGCCAAGATGGTGAATATTCAAAGTGATTGTCACATTTAATGACGCAGACTCAGGCAGGAAGCTGGGAAGATGCACTGCTTCTGCCTCCCAATTTGGGTTCACGGGTTTGTTTTAAGTCTTATGAATGGGCTATGCATTTTCAGACAAAATGGGATATTATTGTTGTTGTTATTATTATTATTAATTTTATTTCTATCCCATCTTTCTCTGCAGAGGGAGAAAAGCTTCCATCAGGAAATGGACTCATTCCCAGGTCTTCTATTATGGAACCATCCTCTAGATCAGGTATAGGCAAACCCAAGCCCGGGGGCCAGATACGTCCTTGGGTTCTTTTCTCAGGCCCTACTCTCTCACCATCCTATCCTTCCTGCCTTTTCTCATACCTTCCTCCTTTCCCTCCCTCTTTCTCCTTCCCTTCCACCCTTTCCTTCCTTCTCTCTTTCCTCCCTTTCTTCCTTTTTGACTTTCCTTCCTTCTCTCTTTCCTTCCTCCTTCCCTTCCTTCCATCCATCACACTTTTTCGGCCTTTCTTCCCTTTTGTCTTTCCTTCCTTCTCTTTCCTCCCTCCATCCCTTCTACCCTTTCATCCTTCCTTCCTTCTCTATTTCCTTCCCCTTCCCTTCCTTCCATCCAACACACACTTTCGTCCTTCCTTCCCTTTTGTCTATCCTTCCTTCTCTCCTTCCTCCATCCATCCATCCCTTCCACCCTTTCGTCCTTCTTTCCTTTTCTTTTTCCTTTATCCTTCCCTTCCTTCCCTCCTTCCCTTTCTTCTTTTTCCTTCCTCCTTCCCTTACTTACTTCCATCCTTCCCTTCCACCCTTTCATCCTACCTTCCCTCCCTTCTGTGTTTTCTTCCTACCCTCTTTACCACTTTCTCCTTCAATTCTTCCCTTCCTCCCTTTTGTCCTTCCTCCCTTCTCTCTTTCCTTCCTTTTTGACTTTCCTTCTCTCATTCCTTCCTCCTTCCCTTCCTTCCTTTCATCCATCCATCATACTTTCGTCCTTCTCTCCCTTTTGTCTTTCCTTCCCTCTCTTTCCTTCCTCCTTCCCTTCATCCATCCCTTCCACCCTTTGTCCTTCCTTTCTCTTTCTTTCCTCCTCCCCTTCCACCCTTTCGTCCTTCTTTCCTTTTCTTTTTCCTTTATCCTTCCCTTCCTTCCCTCCTTCCCTTTCTTCTTTTTCCTTCCTCCTTCCCTTACTTACTTCCATCCTTCCCTTCCACCCTTTCATCCTACCTTCCCTCCCTTCTGTGTTTTCTTCCTACCCTCTTTACCACTTTCTCCTTCAATTCTTCCCTTCCTCCCTTTTGTCCTTCCTCCCTTCTCTCTTTCCTTCCTTTTTGACTTTCCTTCTCTCATTCCTTCCTCCTTCCCTCCATCCATCCATCCATCATACTCTTTCGTCCCTCCCTCCCTTTTGTCTTTCCTTTCTCCTTCCCTTCATCCACTCCTTCCACCCTTTTGTCCTTCCTTTTTCTCTTTCCTCCTTCCCCCCCACCCCTCTTTCTCCTTCCATCTTTCTGTCTTTCCTTCCTTCTCTTTCCTTTATCCTTCCCTTCCTTCCTCCTTTCTTCCCTTCCTCCCTTTCTTCTTTTTCCTTCCTCCTTCCCTTACTTGCTTCCATCCTTCCCTTCCACACTTTCATCCTACCTTCCCTCCCTTCTGTGTTTTCTTACTACCCTCTTTACCACTTTCTCCTTCAATTCTTCCCTGCCTCCCTTTCGTCCTTCCTCCCTTCTCTCTTTCCTTCTTCCTTCCTTTCCTTCCTTCCATCACCAGGGAGCCCGTCCTCCTAGCAGGGAGTGTGAGCATGAGACCCTCAAGTTTAAAAGTTTGCCCATGGCTGCTCTAGATGCTGCTGGACTACAACTCCCAACAGCTCCAGGATGGCAGAGTTAATGGTGAGAGAAGCAGTTCAATGATAAGACTAAACAACCCTCAGAATGGGCACTCCTTCATTGTAAGAGTGGGGACGGCCACCAATACAAGATGACTATCCCATCTCTACTTTCTGCATTTCCACTAAGCCAACCACCACAGGAGATGATGGCAACACAGCACAACCCTGTATCCATTGGACAAGTATCTGCAATCTGATAAAACATATCCTCTCTTGGCATTTTCTAGGACCTCCAGCATGATTCTATGATATTCTTGGGGTGGAAGTAGTTTCAATGGCATTTGCTATTATCTGCAATTTTGCAAATTCAAACAAAATCCAGGAACGTATCCTGTCATGTTGTACAACCCCATTTCTTTTCTCTCCTCAGCTTTTAATAAGCCCCAGTTCTGCAGAGCCGGGTCAGTTTCAAGAGATCACGTTGGGCTCATGCAAGCTGCCAGCCCAGCCCTGTCCAGCCATGTGCTTGTCAACCCCCAGCCCTCCCACGACATGCATGCTGCTCTTGCAGGCAATGGAAACAAGCACACGGCTGGCCGATGTGGGCTGGGCTAGCCACACGTGACAGGTCTGCAGGAATGTGGCCTTGCTCCATTCCCATTCTAGCGACTGGCATTCTCACAACACAAGCAAGCAAAGGCAGACCTCTCAGCCCCACAAGGCCTCCCCTTCTGACTCAGTAGCCGTGCAAACAGGCAATGAGGAGCTGATTTCCATGGAACATCTAGGGCAAGCTGCTCTTGCCAAGGGGAAGCTAAGGGTCACCTACCAACAGGTTTACAAAAGCAGTTTCTACTTCCACTGAGAGAGCCATGTTTGACTATTAAAATGAGCATTTGAGCGGGAGGAAAGAGAGAGTTTGGTGAACTAATATCAAAGCAGCATTGAGAGTCGTAGCAAAGGAGGATGACACAGCTGCTTTGGTCATATACTACGTACATCATTAAGGGTGAAGGGGCAGCTTGAAAATATGTTTAATCAATGCCCCAAGTATGACCTTAAAAAATGTATGAACTTAAGGTATAGCTCCCCATATACAAGGGGTATTTTTTAAGTAAGGTCCGTTTTGTTGTAGACACTAGTAGTTCGCGCGCATACCGCAACGAGCGCATGCGTTGTGTACCGGCATGCCTCGGGAACAACTGTGCTCAGTTTCCGCTCTGTAGCTCACCTGTACAGTTAAGTTCTGTGCTTTAAAAATGTTTAAGACTATCAACTCACCCTCCGCATGTGAGGTTCGCTCAGTGATACGGTTTTTGTCAGCAAGGAACCTGTCTGCTGCAGAAATTCATCAACAGATTTCTGCTGCAGAAATTCATCGACAGCTCCAGAATGGCATTTAATGGTGAGAGAAGCAGTTCAATGATAAGACTAAACGCTCAGAATGGGCACTCCTTCATTGTAAGAGTGGGGACGGCCACCAATACAAGATGACTATCCCATCTCTACTTTCTGCATTTCCACTAAGTATCACCGTGAAGTGTACGGTGATACTGTTATGAGTGAAAGCAAAGTGTGTAAGTGGGTACGACAATTCAAAGATGGCCGTGACAACGTCCATGATGAAGACCGCTCCAGTCGCCCTTCTTTGATTACAGATGATTTGGTGGCTTCAGTTGAAGCGAGGATTCGTGAGAACAGGCGCTTCACAATAACAGGTCTCTCAAATGAATTTCCTGATGTGTCGAGATCAATGCTTTACAACATTGTTTCTGAACACCTAAAGTTTAGGAAACTGTGCTCCTGTTGGGTCCCAAAACTCCTAACAGAGGACCACAAAAACCAAAGATTTGAGTGTGCGATCAAATCAAATCGTCTGTAATCAAAGAAGGGCGACCGGAGCGGTCCTCATCATGGACGTTGTCACGGCCATCTTTGAATTGTCGTACCCACTTACGCACTTTGCTTTCACTCATAACAGTATCACCGTACACTTCACAAATCTGTCGATGAATTTCTGTAGCAGGCAGGTTCCTTGCTGACAAAAACCGTATCACTGAGCGAACCTCACATGCGGAGTTGATAGTCTTAAAAATTTTTAAAGCACAGACCAGAACCGCACAGGTTAGCTACAGAGCGGAAACTGAGCACAGTTGTTCCCGAGGCATGCTGGTACACGACGCACGCGCTCATTGCGGTATGCGCGCGAACTACTAGTGTCTACAACAAAATGGACCTTACTTAAAAAATACCCCTTGTATCGTGGGTATGTATCAAGGCTGGAGGGAATGGAGGGGCAATGGGTCTAGCCCTGCACCCATGTGTACATATGCCCAGGAAAGGGGGAGGCTTCAGCGGAGAGGTGTGCCACACAACCATGTAAGAAGAAAGATGAGGCCCTACCCTGGGTGTGTGAGAGAGGGAGGGAGAGCGTTCACTCAGCGACCGCTGCTGTTCACCAGGCCGTGAAACTCTTCCCAGGCCCTGGCAAGCCAGAGGGGAAACAAAACACAAAGAAACAAACAGAAAAGAAAAAAATAATAAAAGGGAGGGGGAGAAAGAGAAGAAAACAAACACACACACACAAAGAAAAGAAAAGAAAAAAACGAGCACTTCAAACCAAAGGCTTAACTCCGAACAAGAGCAAAGACAAAATCGCGTGCAGTTTTTGCAGGACTTGGCTGAGGGCACAAAGCGGTATTGGCAAGAGAGCCCCAGCAAGGACAGGAAACAGCCCTAAAAAGGCAGCCCTCGTGTCAGAGTTGCAAGAAGCAGCTTGGGAGCTTTTCGTCTCCTCCCCAAAAGAAGCCTGAGTAGGTGTAACAACATTTGCTCACATTCATTCCTCCTTGCCCGCTTCTCCTCTCTCTTATGCTCCCCACCCCTTGTTGTGATTGTGCCTTCACCACTGGAAGAAAAGTCCTTGGACCAAAGCCCTGCCTTAACGTCACTTCAGTTACTTACTCTGTAAAAATTCCATGCATCTAATAATCTTGAATTAATAATAATAGTAACAAACACAGAAAAACTGCACATCACTAGGGAAGCATGTAAGATGTGGCTGCTGGTCAGTCTTAGCTCGGTGTTGGCTGCTTTAAAATTTTAGGCTTTCCAAACCTGATTGGACCTGGTACCTGTCAAACCAAAACCCCAACACATTTGGGCTTGACCACTTCTACCCAGCTCAGAGCTTGGAAGGATTCTAGGTGCTGCATCATTTTGCAGGCTTTTTGTGAGTCTATTAATGGATAAGGTTTTTGATTGGAAAGGGGAAGGCAACTGTCACCAGTCATGTCTTGCCTTAAATCTGCCTTGCTAATGGCACCTATAATAAACATAAAAACATCATTAACTATCAGTGGCAAAAGCTCTTTCAGATAAATCTTGGGGAATAGCGGGGCTGATGTCGCCTCCACTGGCAGCGCAATTTTTCTCACTGATGAGCAGAGTGCTTGGGAAGGGACAAAATCTGTGCGCTCTGCTAAATCAGATAAATTAATATGATGTAGAGAGATGATAGCTCAGAGGTAAGTGGCAGATCGAACGACTAACAACAGGCCTAATGGCATTCTTCTGTTGAGGATCATAAACTCAAGAGTTGGAAGGGCCCACAAGGGCCATGTCATCCAACTCCCTGCCATGCCGTTATGCACAACTCAAGCACTCCCAAGCTATGGGCATCCAATCTCTTTTAAAGATCATCAAAGGAGGAGACTTCACTACCCTTGGAGGCAGCCTATTTAATTGTTAGACATAGAATTTTCTTGCCATTTGAGTTTCCTCATCCACAACCCCCATGCAGGCTGCATTGCCCACTTCACGCTACTCCCAAAAAGAGAGTTGGCTATTATTCATGGTTTCACACATGACTTTGTGTGGTTACACAAAGTCAGGAAATGTATCCCTTGTAGATAAGGGTGTCAGAAATATTAAAAAAATATCTAGGTATTTTTAATTACAAAAATGTGAGTCTAGTACTAAAAGGGTTAAATGGATGCAATGACTCAGCAAAAGCTGTAGTCATTGCAAAGCTACAATACAGGTGTGCCTGTATTGTAGTAGGCCTGTGTGTTAGTTTACTTCAGTGGGAGAAAGGTCTCAGTCTGTGAGAAGGTGTTGGGACTCAGCCTGTGTTTGAGCCTGAATCTGTTATAGTGTTTTCCCCTTCTAATGTTTCTGGGTCTGACTTGGATAGTGAACCTGATGTGAGCAATGTCAATGAGGATGAGGTGCAAAATGGAGAAACTTTGGACAATAAGGTTACTGCAGACTCTGATCAAGAAGGATCAAGGGAAAGGCCAAGTTCTCATGAGAATGTTCCTGTCACAGAAAGACAGGAAAGTTTATTCCCTTCTCCAGGCTCAAGTTTGCAAGATAGTTTCACACCTGCTGCAGCTATTGAGGAGATAGATAAGACCGTCTGGAAATCAGCCAGAATCATAGAGAGGCCCAATGTTTACGCAGGTCAGAAAGAATTCGGCAGTTAAGGCCAAAAACTGGGGGGAGTAGGAAGCAGTTTTTGGGACTTAAATTGAGCTCTTAGGGAATTTTCTTTAGACCAGGCATTGTTTGGTATCAAGTCAGGTCTCCTGGATATTCCTGTTTCATGTGGCCTCGTCTCCAAGGATTCCTGGCTTTTCAAGTGGATTAAGTGGCTAAGTTCATGGTTTTATATTGAAGGTTTTTGGTAGTTCTCAGCATTTGGATTATTACAGCAAGCTTTTGGAACTTTGTTATTATTCTTATGTTTGGACACTGTTTATATGTTGCTGCTTATTTGGCTTTTTGCTTTTGGACTTCTATCAGCTTTACATTCATCTCTTTTATTGGCTCCAGTTATTCTTCAAATAAAAATGACTCTGTTTTCATCCAAGGTGTTGTGTAATTAATGATTAGAGGGTCCTGTTCCTGCTCTAGGGTGCAATAGAAGGCCTCACAGTGTGAGGTAGGCCTTAGTCTGTGAGAGAAGCCTCTGTGTGAGGTAGGCTTTAGTCTGTGAGATAAGCCTCAGTGTGAGGTAGGCCTTAAGTCTGTGAGGTAAGTCTCAGTGTGAGGTAGGCCTTAGTCTGTGAGAGAAGCCTCTGTGTGAGGTAGGCTTTAGTCTGTGAGATAAGCCTCCGTGTGAGGTAGGCCTTAGTCTGTGAAATAAGCCTCAGTGTGAGGTAGGCCGTAGTCTGTGAGAAGGCCTCAGAGTATGAGAAGGCCTAGTGTGATAAGCTTCAGTGAGAGGAAGCCCCAGGTTGAAGGCCTCATGTGTGAAGCTCAAGTGTGAAGGTTGAACTTTGTGTCATGAAAACCTTGTTGTTGAAAATAATAAATAGTGCAACCATATTATTTTGCTATAAAGAAAAGCCTCCTATGGAAGGTATAACATCACTCTGTGTGTTTTTGTTCTTTTTATCACTCAGGGCTACTAGTGCTGGGTCATACTGCTACTGCTAAGTTACTCTGCTATGAATTTATGAGGAGGGTCTTTTGTTGATAAGCTCACTCACCCAACAAGGGAGCCATACTGTATATATTTTGTGCACAAACAACACAGAGACCCTTTTATATTTGTTCTATGCCTCCTTAGGAAGACCTTGTTTCTCCCCATCGAGAACCATGGCACGAGAACCATGGATTGAACAAGGTTCATCTAAAATCTCTGCCCAATTTTTCCTTTGGTTTTTTTCCCATTCTTCTTTGACTATATGAATCTCTCAGGGCTCATCCATGTGAACCAGGCTGTGTCTTTGCTTACAGCACCCTTAAGTGAAAAAATATTTTTTCACATTCTTCAACCGTAATCTGAAAGCTCTTTTTTAAAACAAGCAGCAGCCCCTCATCACTATGGAGAAAAATAAAAGTCATCTTGAATGGCTCAGCATGATAAACTAGAACGGTCTTATCTAAAATACAGTCGTCCTCTCTGTTTACTATAATCCTCTGTTCTGGTTAAAGAGCCTCTGTCACGAGGGTGGTGGAAGGATTTAATATACAGCATTTATTATTATTAGAAATAATTTGAACAGCGCAGTAAATTTACATAGCGCCTTCCGGAGAACATTTATAAATCTAATGCGTCTGTAAATCCCTGTTAGCTTTTCTATTTTATTGCTCCAGCTATGCAGTGCCCTCAAGTAACACCCTCCCCTCCTTGCACCTTGTCTTGAAAGAGGGAAAACACACAATCCCACTGCTGCAAACCAAGTAGCCATTTAGAAGAAAAGGCTAGGCCAAGGGTTTGCAGAGTCTGTTTTGGGAAATCCTCCTTTCCTTGGATGCTCATGGGTGACAGATCCTTGGGGGGAAGATTGGCCATGGTAGAGAAGAATGGCACTTTACTCCCCATCTCTAATCTTCCACCAATGAGGAAGACCGGATATGTCCCAAAGTAGTGATTCACAAACATGGTTCTCCAGATCTTTTGGACTCTGAGATTCTCTGACCAATTGCTGGGGCTTCTGTGAGCTCAAGTCCAAAACATGGCTTCCATATCACCCCACCTGAAGCAAGGTTGAACCTGAGACCTTGCTTTATGTCCCCATAATCTCCCAGAGCAGAGCGAGTGTGCGTTTCTTGGAAGGCTGACAGACATGGGAAGAGGCTCTTTGAAGAGGGAAAATCTGAAAGCCACTAACCAAGGTCACTGACAGCAGAAAAGACTTCAGCACTCAAAATAACGACCCTGCAGCCAAAGCAGTTGCACAAAGTAGTAGGAATGCCCTTTTGTCAGCCACTTGGATGGCACCCAGAGGTTTAAGACACATACAAGGAAGGCCTTGCTTCATTTTAAAGCTGTGCCATGCATTCCATGTGGAGGAGCCAAGCATAGAAAAAGCAGTATTTGCTCATCCCACCCTGTACGTACTTGATGCTGTCTGTGTGCGTTTTGTATTCCATGATGGTGTTAGGGGGAAGGTTGAGCACTCGCCGTAATGTGTCCCTTATCCGGGCTGTGGTTGCTTGGTCACTGGCTGTCTTGTTCCATATGGAGATGATATCCTCCTAGAAGGTGACCCATGGGAGGTTAAAAAAGAGAAACAAGAGGTCTACACACCTAAGTCACCAACTCTGCGCCCTCCACACAATAATAATAATAATAATAATAATAATAATAATAATAATAAACGTTTATTTGTACCCCGCTACCATCTCCCGAAGGACTCAGTGCGCCTTACAAGAGGCCGAGACCAAATACAATAGTAAAAACAACAGCAACAACAAACAACAAAATAACTCAAAAAACAAAGCAATAACATTAACCACACACAATGATGCAATTAAAATCAATGGCAGGGCCAAATGTAATAATTAAAATTAAAAGTGCTGGGCATGACCAGGTGGAGTGTTTGGAAGGGGATGGGCATGCAGATATCCTGGATCTCTGATAAAGTGCGTTGGGACATAATGCTAGGAGTTTCCTTATTCTGGGAAGGCACACTGGAACAACCACGTTTTCAAGCTCCTCCAAAATATTACTAGCGACGGGGCCTGCCTGATGTCCTTAGGGAGAGAGTTCCAGAGTCGAGGGGCCACCACTGAGAAAGCCCTATCCCTCGTCCCCACCAATCGCGCTTGCGATGCAGGTGGGATCGTGAGCAGGGCCTCTCCAGATGCGGTCACGCAGGTAGGCAGGTCCCAAACCGTTTAGGGCTTTGTAAGTAAGCACCTGCACCTTGAATTGGGACTGAAAAATGAATGGCAGCCAGTGGAGCTCCTTAAACAGGAGGGTTGACCGCTCCCTATAAGGAGCACCAGTTAACATCCTGGCCGCCGCCTGTTGGACCAATTGAAATTTCCGGGCCATTTTCAAGGGCAGCCCCACGTAGAGTGCATTACAGTAGTCCAATCTGGAAGTGACTAAGGTGTGGACCACCCTGGCCAGATCTGCCTTCATGAGGTACGGTCGCAGTTGGCGCACGAGTCTTAATTGTGCAAAGGCCCTCCCAGCCACCACTGACGCCTGAGCTTCAGGCGACAGTGATGAGTCCAGGAGGACACCCAAGCTGCGGACCTGTGACTTCAGAGGGAGTGTAACCCCGTCCAGCACAAGTTGCCACCCTATACCCCGATCCGGTTTACGATCGACCAGGAGGACCTCTGTCTTGTCGGGACTGCCCTCCCTTGCATGCAGGAACACTTACCTGAAAACGAACAGATACGACTGCCCCACAGATCTCTTCCCCCACCATGAATTGTTCCCCCAGCATTGCGAGAATAAGGTTCTCCCAGCAGCGAGATGCTAAGCCCTTTCGAAGGCGGATAATCCACTTGCCTCCATTCTTGTTGGCATCGTCCTAGGGAGAAAGGAAGGGAGGAAACAAGTTACTGCCTGAACCATATCCCTACTTGTCTGATACTAAAAGGACAGGATGTGAAGGCCACACAAGGTAATTTTCCTGGCAGAATTAATCTCATGAATATCATCAATTACAAGCTGACAAGTAAAAGATGGGATCTCTTGGCTTCGTCTTTGAAAACAGGTGCCAAAATCTTTTCCGTTACAGTATATGCATGTATATGACTAAGTTTTTGTAAGGATCGTCTCCTGTGTGTGTGTGTGTGTGTGTGTGTTGAGGAAAAACACCTGGATAATTGAAGCAATTAAGCTTGAACCACTCCCTGAATGGAATATAACATGAGGAGTGTTTCTGGTGGATTTTGGGACTTACTGAACCACTTAGAATCATAGAATCAAAGAGTTGGAAGAGACCTCATGGGCCATCCAGTCCAACCCCCTGCCAAGAAGCAGAAATATTGCATTCAAATCACCCCTGACAGATGGCCATCCAGCCTCTGTTTAAAAGCTTCCAAAGAAGGAGCCTCCACCATACTCCGGGGAAGAGAGTTCCACTACTGAACGGCTCTCACAGTCAGGAAGTTCTTCCTCGTGTTCAGATGGAATCTCCTCTCTTGAAGTTTGAAGCCATTGTTCCATTGCATCCCAGTCTCCAGGAAAGCAGAAAACAAGCTTGCTCCCTCCTCCCTGTGGCTTCCTCTCACATATTTATACATGGCTATCATATCTCCTCTCAGCCTTCTCTTCTTCAGGCTAAACATGCCCAGCTCCTTAAGCCGCTCTTCATAGGGCTTGTTCTCCAGACCCTTGATCATTTTAGTCGCCCTCCTCTGGACTTACTTCAAGACTTGTCTCCTTGCACCATTGAAGAAGAAGAAGATGCATGGATTTAATGCATAGGACTTTGTGTGAGTTTTATTTTTGCAGATGGACTGAATTATTTTCAAAGCTGGATATTTTTGTGAAGCTGCTAATTTAACTCTGTTACTTAAGAGTAAATTTTGTTTTTCCCATTTACTTGGCTCATATTTACTCTTTGTGGATGAACAAAGGGCTGGGAAGTCTGGACAGGACTGCACAATTACTAGGTTAGCTTTCGTATAAACCACAACATTTTCTGCATGGCTTTCTCAGTTATTTCCCCCCACTTTCCTCCACCTCCCTCCTATCTCTTAATCACACAATCAAGAATTCTGTACCAAGGGAACAAAAATAGACAAATGTTACAAAGGTTGGCCAGAATCACTAGAGTGTTGTGTGGTTCCCAGGCTGTATGACGGTGTTCTAGCAGCATTTTCTGCTGATGTTTTGCCTACATCTGTGGCTGGCATCTTTAGAGGATCTGATGCCCGGAAACCACACAACACTCCAGTTACATAGGTCTCTTTCATAAGAAATGATCAATTAACAGGTGGAAAACTAATGTTATGAGAAATTGGCCAGGGAGTGAGACCAGAGCAAGTCTCTCACTGGTAGGCCCAAATACAACTTAGACTCCTCATGCATTAGAGTCTGCCTTAAAGAGATGTCAGACTCACTTCCCACATGGGTTTAATTCCTTCTTTGAAAAGATGAAAGTCGCTGTGGCCTGTCAGGTCTCCAGGACGGATCATGTGGCTGTAAAACCTCCAAAACTGCTCCACCTGCAACAAAGCACACATTCACTGACTTCAACTGTTCCTTTATTTCCTGGAAGCACTTCAAGAACCAACAGTAAATGGCCCCAGTCCAGAGTCTGCCATTTTGAATAGCACTGGGTCAAACAAAAAAGAAAAAGGAAAGTCTCTTTTTGTTCTAACTTCTGCTGTCCTACCAGCTCATTTGACCCACTGCCACATTTTTTCTACTCAGTCGGTTATTTAGCTATCAGAGCAGCATCAGGTGGTTTGTTATGTGGTCCTTGAAGTCTCTGTCACCATTGCACTCCAGAGCAGGAACACCTCTGACCTTAAACAACACACCAGATTAGTAAAAACAGCAAGCAGTTTATTGACAATTATATGTAGGCAAAGAAGTACGAATGTATTCTCCCCTATGAACCATCAAGAGTGTCAAGATCATCTGGAGAGGCCCTGCTCTCGGTCCCGCCATCTTTGCAAGCGCCCTGGTGAGGACGAGAGACAGGGCCTTTTCTGTGGTGGTCCCTCGGCTATGGAATTCCCTCCCAAATGAAATTAGATCTGCCCCCTCCCTCCTGACCTTTAGCAAGCTAGTGAAAACCTGGCTGTGCAACAAAGCTTTTGTGGAATGATGTCTGATCATGGTACTGATAACAATATATGGACTGGACATAAGGACTGAGTTGGACACGATTTTATCCTGGCGAACGGCTTTTATGTAATTTATGTAAAATAATTGGTAACTTAATGTTGTGTATTATGTTTTAGATTTTCAGTGTTAGCATTGAATCTTTGCTGTTAGCCAGTCTGAGTCTCTCTGCAGAGGTAGAGAAGATCGAGATATAAATGTTTTAAATAATATTAATAAATAATAAAAACAGTATAGTCCCAAGATAAAAAAAATAGTCCATGAGCTTCAAGGCACAAGGTAAAATACAAGATTCAAAGGTACAAAATCCATAGAACGAGGCAGCATGAAAATCCAATACACATATCAGAAGCCTGGCATAACTTGGTACATAAAACTAGGAACACTTGGAAACAAGACCATCATCAAATTCCAACTTTGATGAGACTGAGGCAATTTTATCCTGTGTATCAATATAAAGCTTTTCCTGACCACAGAACTGAAAGGAAAACATTTTTCTTGACCTTACAACCAGATAAGGGTTTTTTATCTCTCTTTTCCTGCAGACGAATTGACCTTCATTACACCTGAGAATTTTGCCTCTGTTTACAAAAGACATGCTTTCTATCTTCACTCTCATTAAAATCTGCACCTGACAAATAATCTTCGGAAGACAGTTTCTCAGAGAAAGACTGTTAAAGGCCTCTCCCAGGAATGTGACCTTGTGAATCTTCATGAGACACCTCGGGCCTCTCGTCTGGGTTTAACTCAAGCTCAGGCAAAACCTCACCTCATTGTGTTGTCCCCAAAATTAAATACATCTCATAATTGTATGCTGGAGTCTAAGTGGAGTCAGCACTTGTTAGGACTTGTTTGTAAGACTTTTAATGAATATTAGGTGCTGTAGGCCAGCGGTTCCCAACCTTTGGTCCTCCAGGTGTTCTGGACTCCCACAATTCCTAACACATGATAAGATGGATGAGTGTGCTGGGAACCATTGCTGTAGGCTATATTTCAGAGGACTGGCAAAACTATTTCTAAGTATTCCAAGGGTCACCATAAGTCAACAAGCAACTTGAAGGCACCCCCAAGATCTAACCTCCCTTTTCCTCAAATGCTATAAGCCAGAACTTCCATAACATGGGGAAAGGTGCTGTTAGGCTGTACCCCATGAGAGTCTGGAAGTGGCAGTTCAAAATGGAGAATCTCCCCCAAGAGCAGAAGGACTAACAAGGAATGCTAAGTGCTGTAGGCTATATTTCAGAGGAAGGAAACTACCTTTGGAGATGCCTCCTTGCAAAAAATCCTATGAAATTCATGGAGTCCTTACACAAGTCTTGAAGGTGCACTCAAAGACACAGTTCTGCAGAGCACTGCTGCCCTCTGGGGTCTAAACATGGATTTGCAGCATGTTTACTAAGGCTGTTCAACCAATCTTAAGCTAGTACACCTCCAAAAAGGCTCCATTCAACTGAAGGAGTTTACTTCCTGCTAAGTGTGTCCTGGATTTCTGTTGAAGGCTGTATGCAAGGGTGACAGAAACACTGGTATAAAGCACTATGTCAGCATGGAGACCAACTCATAGAATAAAAGGAGTATGAATTTTGCACAGTCACGTACTAGTTAGGGTAAACCCTGACTCATTCATTGGTCTCCTACTCCAACACACATACTATTATACCACACTGACTCTCTATACTTCTATATGTTGCTTGTTGATGTATGGTGAATAATCCTTGCTTTCTTAAGCAAGGATTTCCCAGATTTAATTTTGACAGTTCCTTCCTATGAAATAGTGCCAATATCCAAGTACTAACCAGGGCTGACCTTGCTTAGTTTCCAAAATCAGATAGGATCTGGTGCTTTTACGGTATTCAGACTCTCTCTCTGTGTGTATGTCCTTTAAAGTCTCCTCTTGTTGGCGTATGATGACCCCATAAGAGTTTTCGCAGGCAAAGTAGTTTGAACAGTGTCTTCCTCTGAAATATTGCCTACATCAACTGTTATTCTTCGATGATCTATCTATGTATTTATCTATGGCTGACTTTGCTTAGCTCCCAAAATCAGACAGGATCTGGTGACTTTATGTATTTGGGCTTTATATATTAAAGTAGAGTCTCACTTATCCAACTTTCGCTCATCAAACATTCTGTATTATCCAAGGCAGTCTGCCTCCGGCCCGGATACACATCTGTTTCAATACATTACCATGTTTTGGTGCTATATTCATAAATACAGTAATTACTACATAATGTTACCATGTACTGAACTTCTTTTTCTGTCGATTTGTTGTAAAACATGATGTTTTGGTGTTTAATTTGTAAAATCATAACGTAATTTGATGTTTAATAGGCTTTTCCTTAATCCCTCCTTATTATCCAACATTTTCGCTTATCCAACATTCTGCTGGGCCGTTTATGTTGGATAAGTGAGACTCTACTGTAATAGTGAAATCAGGTATTTATTGTTGGTGGCTATGTAACCAAAACAGGGCTACTGAAAAACAAAATGGAGTCACCAGCAAGTTTAGGGAAACCCAAAATTTGCAGGAGTTTGCATCTTAGTTTTTCCCTGCAGCTAAGAGACCACTTCTCCATTTTACTAAAAAGACACCAGACCATTACAAGTTCAAAGGAATGGAGGGAAGTCTCTTGAAAGAACACTATCTGGAACACTTCACACTGCAGCATTTATGATGGAGGTAACATCTAGTATCCAATGTGCTACAGAAGTGTTTCTTAACCTTCCTAATGCCGCGACCCCTCAATACAGTTCCTCATGTTGTGGTGACCCCCAACTATAACATTATTTTCATTGCTACTTCATAACTGTAATTTTGCTACTGTTATGAATTGTAACATAAATATCTGATATGCAGAATGTATTTTCATTTACTGGACCAAATTTGGCACAAATATCTGATATGCCCAAATTTGAAAACTGGTGGGGTTCAGAGGGCAGGGGTTGATGTTGTCATTTGGGAGTCTTAGTTGCTGGGATTGATAGTTCACCTACCATCAAAGAGCATTCTGAACTCCACCAACGATGGATTGAACCAAACTTTGGTGGGCAGTGTCCTTTGGTTTTGGAGTTGTAGTTCACCTACATCCAGAGATCACTATGGACTCAAACAATGATGGATCTGGACCAAACTTGGCACAAATACTCAATATGCCCAAATGTGAATACTGGTGGAGTTTGGAGAAACTAGAGTTTGACATTTGGGAGTTGGAGTTGCTGAGATTTATAGTTCACATCCAATCAAAGAGCATTCTGAACCCCACCCACTATAGAATTGGGTCAAACTTCCCACACAGAACCCCCATGACCAACAAAAAATACTGTGTTTTCTGATGGTCTTTGGTGACCCCTCTTACACTCCCTTGCGATCCCCCCAGGGGTCCCGACCCCCAGGTTGAGAAACGCTGTGCTACAGTCATTCCAATAACTAAGGAGGCCCCAGTGGCGCAATGAGTTAAACCTTTGTGCTAGCAGGGCTGCTGAATGATAGGTCAACGGTTTGAATCTGGGGAGAGGGGTGAGCTCCCTCTGTCAGCTTCCCATATGGGGACATGAGAGAAGCCTTCCACAGGAAGGTAAAACATCTTGGCGTCCCATGGGCAATGTCCTTGCAGACGGCCAATTCTCTCACACCAGATGCAACTTGCAGTTTCTCAAGTTGCTCCTGACATGAAAGATAAAAATTTCAATAGCTAACTGGTTTAAATTTATATCCTTAGTTCAGCTGTTGGAAAAGAAGGCACATTCCTCATTTGGATGAATGATAAAAAAAAGTACAGAAATTGGGGCAGTGGTGCATAAAAGGAACTCTTACTAAATTAGTTTCCTACCACACCTTCCTGCAATTTAAACATTTGTGCTGCCAGGTAAATTTCAATTTCACTACTACACCAAACCTGTTCTGCGAGTGGGTTTTTTTTCCCTATTCAACAAATGCCAACATTTCTGGCCAGGCATTACCAGGCACTTTTTAAGTGAAGCATGCATACAAGACAAGACTGACTGAGTCAAGTGAACTACTGTTTCTGTTTCATATTCTGTCTTTCATACAAAAAGTTTTGGACACTTTAAAATAGTGATTCCTAGCTAGGAAATTGCCCTGGGAAGAATTTTAGCCCCTAAACATGCCCTTGACTTATACATGAGTATGTATGGAAATTGTTTACCATCATTTTGTGTTATTTTGTATTTTAAATAATTTAAATAATAATAATAATAATAATAATAATAATAATAATAACAACAACAACAACACTGTTGCGTAGATGATTCATTGGAACCTGTACCACAAATACCATCTGCCTGCGATAAAGAACTGGTGGGATCACAAGCTGGAAAAAGTTACAGAGAATGAACACGTCAAACTCCTCTGGGACTTCCGAATTCAGACAGACAGAGTTCTGGAGTACAACACTCCTGACCTCATGATCATGTTAAAAAACAAAATATGGATTGTCGATGTTGCAATCCCAGGTGACAGAAGGATTGAAGAGAAACAACTGGAAAAGCTGACACGATACGAGGATTTAAAGATCGAACTGCAAAGACTCTGGCACAAGCCAGTAAAGGTGGTCTCAGTGGTGATCGGCACACTGGGTGCAGTGCCTAAAGACCTTGGCCTGCACTTAAAAACAATCAGCACTGACAAAATTACCACCTGCCAGCTGCAGAAGGCCACCTTACTGGGATCTACACGCATTATTCCCCAATACATCACACAGTCCTAGACACTTGGGAAGTGTCTGACGTGTGACCCAATACAACAGCCAGCAGAGTGATCTTGTCTGATGTGGACTCATCTTGTTGTGTTTCAAATAATAATACTAACTTTATTTTTATACCTTGCTTCCATCTCCCTGAAGGGACACAGGGCGGTTTACAAAGGGACAAACCCAGAGAGCACAGAGTTAAAATGTAATCTATATAAATAAAAATGTAATGTTCATTTGTGGGATTAACATAACTCAAAAACCACTGGGGGAATTGCTGCCAAATTTGGCCACAAGACACCAACTAACCCAAGGAGTGACCATCACTCAAAAAATGATTTTGTTATTGGAAGTTGTAGTTGCTGGGATTTATAGTTTACTTACAATCAAAGAGCATTCTGAACACCACCAATGATGGAATTGAACAAAACTTGGCACACAGGACTTCCATGACCAACAGAAAACACTAGAAGGATTTGGTGGGCATTGACCTTGAGTTTGGGAGTTGTAATTCACCTACAGAGAGCACTGTGGACTCAAACAATGATGGATCTGGACCAAAATTGGCATGAATATTCCATATTCCCAAATATGAACACAGATGGAGTTTGGGGGAAATAGACCTTGATATTTGGGAGTTGTGGTTACTGGGATATATAGTTCACCTACAATCAGAGAGCATGCTGAACCTCACCAATGACAGAATTGGGGCAAACTTCCCACACAGAACCCCTATACTTAAGGCCATCCAGTCCAACTTCCTTCACCAGGACAAGAAAATGTAATCAAATCCCTCCTGACAAAGAGCCATCCAGATACATACATACATATATATGATTCACACACACACAGATGTAGTTTCATAGATTTGAAAGGGACCCCTAAAGAAGGACAATTATATGTTGCATGTTTCAGAGTAGGCAAACCAGACAATCTCTACATCAACACCGACAAAGAAACAACAAGAAATAATGTTTACCCACAAACATAAAGAAATTACATGTATTACAAACTAATACCTTCTCATTACTTTATTTTCCAGATCACCAGCCTGGGCCACAACATGTGACAGGGGACGGCTAGTGCAATAATAATAATAATAATCATCATCATCATCATCATCATCATCATCATCATCATCCAGACCAAATAGAAACATAATTAAATAAAACATAACATGAAAACAGTACCATGGGAGCAATAAAAGTGCTGAGTTCAGAGGGCTCTGAGTTTGTGCAAAATTCCTAGATAGAACTAAGGGAAAGTGCAACATTCAGTGGCAGGGATGGGAGAATAATGTCTTTGTGCTTTATAATGTCAGGATTGTAGAGCGGAGGGCCATGCTAAAGTGCCGGAACTTAGGTATGAAAGGGCCAATTCTTTGGAACTGCCTAATCAAAGGCACAACGAAAAATTCATGTTTTTAGGTTCTTGCGGAAGGAGGACAGAGTAGGGGCCAATATGATCTCCCTAGGAAGAGAGTTCCAGAGCCGGGGAGGCACCACCGAGAAGCCCCTCTCCCTCGTCCCCACCAACCACACCTGAAACGGAGACGGAAGTGAGATGAGGGCCTCCCCAGCTGATCTTAGGGCTCATGTTGGTTCATAAAGATGCGATCGCGAAGATAGGCAGGTCCCAAACCATTTAGGGCTTTTTAGGGAATCACCTGCACCTTGAATTGGGACCGGAAACTAATTGGCAGCCAGTAGAGATGTTTAAAGAGTGGGGTTGACTGCTCTCTGTAACTTGCTCCAGTTAGTAATCTGGAAGTTAGTAATTTAGTCCTATTGCAATGTTTATTTCTAAGTATGTTTTCCCTCCAGTTTTTTTTTTTTTTACTGAAAACAAAATAGTATATTTGAACAGATAATAACTGTCTATTCCAGGGATACATTACAATGACATATTTCTATATTATCTATTCACATTCTTTAAAGATTCATTCGCATTACATTTTGTATTTTTTTCAATAATATCTGATTGGACTTGCTCAAATAAATAGTTATTCCAATTTTCCAGATTCCATTTTTTTCATCTCACCACCCCCAGGCTATTACCGCCTTTCCTGCTAAAATCATTGCTTTAAATAAGTCTTGGTACTTCACAGCAATGTTTTTCTTCCCTGTAACTGCCATTAACATAAATTCCATATTGACACGGATTGTGATTTTGAAAAGTTTCCCCATTTTGCTAATTATCTTATCCCAAAAAGTTGTTGCATTTAAACAGTCCCACCACATATGTGCATACCAGCCTTTCTCTACTTTACAGTGCCAACACATTGGGCTTAATCCTGTTCCCATATTTGCTATTTGAGCTAGTGTCCTGTACCATTTCCAGATAAATATCCTTTCTAATTCTTTATATTTTTCCATTTTAATTTTCTTGACCCCCTTCTTTACTTCTAAGAATGTGTTGAATTGCATGTTAAGGTGCATTGAGCCCCAATTTTGGGGAAAAGATGGACTACCATTATTATTATTAACAACTAGCCATCCCCTGCCACATGTTGCCACAATCTGTATATATGTGTTTTGTGTGTGTATATATGCATATATGTGTGTATATATACTTGTGTATATATGTATATATGTGTATACGTGTATATATGTTGTTTGTTGCATGCGTTGTAATGTATTTTTTTGTTTTTTGGCTTTTTAAGTCTCTTCTGCTGTGTTTTTCAGTGTATTTATGAGTGATGGTCACTTGCTGGCCCGATAGGTGTCTTAGCAATTGCACAAATGCATCTGGCGGGGACGAGAGACAGGGCCTTCTCGGCGATGGCCACTCGCCTATGGAACACACTCCTAAATGAGGTAAGATCTGCTCCCTCCCTCCTGGCTTTTAGAAAGAAATTAAAATAATGGCTTTGGGATCAGGCCTTCGGACAGTAGATGTTTGTAGAGTTTAAAGGATATGGACTAGAATGACAATACGACTGGTGAGACTGTTTTTATTATTTATTGTTTTAATGATTGCTTATGTACTGTCTAATTATGATTTATGTTTAATTGTGGTTTTATTATTGTGGTTGTTATGGTTTGGCATCACGTCAGTGTCCAATGTATGGCACTGAAGTTTTGTCAGTTATGTGTAAACCGCTTTGAGTCCCCTGCCACACGTTGCTGTGGCCCACATGGGGGTTCTGCGTGGGAGGTTTGGCCCAATTTTATCGTTGGTGGGGTTCAGAATGCTCTGTGATTGTAGGTGAACTATAAATCCCAGCAACTACAACTCCCAAATGTCAAGATTCTATTTTCCCCAAACTCCACCAGTGTTCACATTTGGGCATATTGAGTATTCTTGTAGAGTTTGGTCCAGATCCATCATTGTTTGAGTCCACAGTGATCTCTGGATGTACGTGAACTACAACTCCAAAACCAAAGGACACTGTCCATCAAACCCTTCCAGTATTTTCTGTTGGTCATGGGAGAACTGTGTGCCAAGTTTGGTTCAATTCCATTGTTGGTGGGGTTCAGAATGCTCTTTGATTGTAGGTGAACTATAAATCCCAGCAACTACAACTCCCAAATGACAAAATCAATTTTTTGAGTGAAGGACATACATTGGGTTGTTAGGTGTCTTGTGTCCAAATTTGGTGTCAATTCGTCCAGTGGTTTTTGAGTTCTGTGAATACCACAAACGAACATTACATTTTTATTTATATAGATAATAAAAATAACAACAAGGCAGTTATAAAATAAACCTGGATATGGAGGAAAGTGGAGGAGAGATCCATTCCTCTCTATATGCAGATAACACAATATACACGGATACACACATATTCAAAACCAACTAAACTCTATCTAAATAATGACACAAAGGCAATGAGCACTCACGGAAGCAAAGGTGCCAATTTGTTTGATGTTCTGTTCATAACTCTGAGAGCTGGTGGGCCTCCCAGGCGTCCGTCTGGAGTACCAGAAGGTGTAATTATACTGCAGAGGATGCTCCGCAGGTCCTGGTACCACAGCCTGTGGGCAGAATGAAAATAAAAACTCATTTTTCCATAGGCACATCCAGGAAGAGAAAGCTGAAAAGATGTTTGGAGCATTAGAAGCCTGTCCATTCCTGACAGCGCAGAGTGCGAAAGAACAGTTTAGCCCCATTTTCTTTGTGAACTTCCATCTCTGTTAACAGCCTGAAACAGACCATTATTCTGCCAAGAATCGACTATACTTCAAGGGCTTATCAACCCTCTGCACGCTTGAGTTTTTCCAAGCTGGACGAGACTGGGCCCCACAAGGAATACTTTACATTTCTTGATACCAATTAATCAGACAGTTCCAGTTCACAAACTCTGCCTACCTCTCTCTATGCCTCCAAAGAAAAGAGATAGAAAAAGCCCACCTGATGTGGTCATGGAGGCTTTGATTGCCTCTCTATGAGAGGAAATGGAACAAAGGAAATCTGAAAAATTCCAGCCAAGATTTCTAAATCAGGCAACAAAACCAAATGACTGCAATTTGTACAAAGCAACTTGTTTTTAATATTGCTGGGTCAAAACACCAGCCATCACAGCTCCCATTGAACAAAGAATAAACCAGGATAATCTGGTTTTTCCTTTTTCCTAAAATAGTCGCAAGATACCGAGTCTAATGGGAAAGTGCCCTTGGCAAGCAGACTAAAAAGCAAAGGAACACAACCAGGGAGATTATTACAACAGAATTAGTGAGGGGCTGGTTCAAGCCCATCTCTTGTGCACAGGAGAGAAGTGGAACAGATGGCAGATCTCCGGCCTGAAATGCCATAAATATTCAAGCATAAGCCCCTTGGGGCTGAGTTCTGTAACAGCTGTTCTCTGTGCATTTTGGTAGTCTAATACACATAAACCCTGAACTTAGAGTAAGTTATAGTTCAACTTTAAAATCTGACAGTTTTAACAATCAGTTTAGTGAGCACAATAAAAACGCCCACCACTGTGTCAGGGAGCATGGGCAAATAGAAAAAGAGTTTGGGGTACAGTGGTTTGCGTGTTGGATTAGGACACTAAAAGGGTAAAGGTAAAGGTTTTCCCCTGACATTAAGTCCAGTCATGTCTGACTCTGGGGGGTTGGTGATCATCTCCATTCTAAAGTAGACACCTCCAAGGTCATGTGGCCAGCATGACTGCATGGAGCGCCATTACCTTCCCGCCGGAGCGGTACCTACTGATCTATTTATTTATTTATTTGGAGTGCTTCTACCTCGCCCTTCTCAACCCCCTAGGGGGGACTCAGGGCAGCTTACAAAAGGCACAATTCGATGCCCAACAATTCACAAAATACAATATACAATTTACAATATAACGACGACAGTTATAACTAATTAAAACAGTCAAATTAAAACAACAGCAGCAGCAATAAAATCATCTTGTGGTCAACGTTCGTCAATTCATAAATCCATAATCCATCCAGCATTGTCATTGTCCTTTCCTACTCTGGTTGTCATTGTCTTTTATCCATCTGCCAGCTTACCCAAAGCCCTGGTCCCATATCCAGGTTTTTAACTTCCTTCTGAAAGAGAGGAGGGATGTTGATGACCTAATTTCCCCGGGGAGTGCATTCCACAGGCGAGGGGCCACCACCGAGAAGGCCCTGTCCCTCATCCCCACCAGTCGCACTTGTGATAAAGGTGGGGCCGAGAGCAGGGCCTCCCTAGAGGATCTTAAACTCCGAGGTGGGACGTACAAGGAGATACGTTCGGACAGGTACGCTGGGCCAGAGTCGTATAGAGTATCTACTTACATTTGCATGTTTTTGAACTGCTAGGTTGGCAAAAGTTGGGGCTAACAGCAGGAGTTCAGGCCTCTCCCTGCAGTCGAACCTGCAACCGTAAGCAAGTTCAGCAGCTGAGTGGTTTAACCCACTGCACCACTGGGAGCTCTGACACTAAAAGAGCAGGATTCAAATCCCTACTCAGCCATGGAAATTCACTGGTGAGCTTGGGTGAGTGGGGAGAAATGATGAATGTGTATGAAAAGCAAAGGGAAATGAAGAAACAGTATTTGTTTAGGTGGGTTTTCCCTTGCCATCCTCTGACGCTGAAAGAGTGTGGTTTACCCAAGATCGCTATAATAATAATAATAATAATAATAATAATAATAATACGAAATCCAGCACATAGTTCTCGTTTGCTGTGACATACTGTGCGTTTGTGTCAATAATAATAATAATAATAATAATAATAATAAATCTTTATTTATATTCTGCCCTCTTTCCCCAAGAATTTCAAACAAAAAAGGCAAACATTCAATGCCTCAGTGCAATACCAGATACAAACATAATACCCAAAATAACCCCACACATGAAAACAATTTATAACATAGCGTCTACAGGTTAAATAAAATGTAACCTAACAAAAAAATTACCTCAACATAAAACCTAAACATAAAACATCTGCATTCATTTATAGATGCCAACAAAGATTCACTAAGATATGTGAGTTTATTATGTGGCCAGTGGTGTTAACTGGGCAAACATGATTTGACCAAGCCCGAATACAATAATACTTTTCAGTCAAGGTTCTAGTGGTGGTCTCTTATCATCTAATCCTCCTCCTCTCTGTATGCTAGTGAGCAAATGTAAGTTTTCAGTTGTTTTTTGAAGTACAAGAAAGAGGGGGCAAGCTTTATTTCTTTAGGAAGGGAGTTCCTGAAGTGGGGGTGGCCACGAAGAAGACCCTCTCTCACCAGCTGTGCTTGAGATGGGCGTGGGACCGAGAGCAGGATTTCCTCTGCTGATGGCAGTCCCCAGGTTGATTTATAGGAGGAGATGCAATTAGTCAAATAGCCAGAACTCAAGTCAAATTAGGAAATACATCTTCATATGCTAAATAGATGGTTACCTGCTTGATTTGTTTTAAAAACCTAATATGTTTCAGACACAACACTGGCCTTCTTAAGGGCTATACTAAACAGATTCCAATATAGTTCCATTTATATTAATAGAACAACAAAAAGTTGGTTATATTCTCTAAAAACATCTTGATTACTTTATTATACACAACACATACCTTTATATGGGGCAAATTACTTTACACATATATTTCTAAAGTTGTATATTGCACCCTCGAAAGAAATTATGCAAAAAAATAATAGACCATCATCCCTGGATATCTGCATATGGACCCAAGTAGTCAGATAAGAAAATGAATTAATTGTTTCTTTAGAACTGGCAACAAGAACATCTGATGCAACCATTCTAGCCAGTATTGCACCACCTGACATCCGCCGGGAAGTAGCAGCCAATAGTGAAAGGACCAAGGCAGAGACATCTCCAGCTCATCCCTTGTTTGGTTATCAGCCAGCACGTCAATGACTTAAAACAAGAAATAGTTTTCTAAGATCTACAGAGACACTTGCTGGAACACCCCAGCAAGCAAGAGTCCAAAAGTGGCAGGCTCAGACCCAGAACCTCAACCAATGGCTGATACCAAAGGAGAGACTCCCCCCTGGGCACACAGAAAACAGGGCAACTTGGAAGGCGCTGAACAGACTGTGCTCTGGCACCATGAGATGCAGAGCCAACCTTAAGAAATGGGGCTACAAAGTGGAATCCAAGACATGCGAGTGTGGAGAAGAGCAAAACACATACTGCAATACAACCTGAGCCCTTCCACATGCACAATGGAGGACCTTCTTGCAGGAACACCAGAAGCACTCCAAGTGGCCAGCTACTGGACATTTAATCAACTACCAAGCTTGCAAACTCTGTTTTGCCTTTTTGCTAAAAATTTGTTTTAAAATGTAATACAATTGTCTGGTTGATACTGACACGATAAATAAATAATATTCTAAAAGTATTGAGCTTTCTAAAACAAATACAGCAAGTGGCCATCTATTATCATGTGGAGCTATGTCTCTTAATTTGCCTTCACTGATCTTGAGCAAACCACGCTCTCTCAGCTTCAGAGGAAGGAGAGGGCAAACTCCCTCTAAAACAAAAAGATCCCTTTGATAGGTTTGCCTTAGCATTGCCACAAGTCAGAAATGACATGGAGGCACACAACAACTAATACTGCAAAATCCCCTGGAAAGGAGATGACAGTATAGTCCATCAATGCTACTTAGGACTTCCAATGTTGTTTATGCTGATGACTGTCATTGTCAGGGTGGGTGGGTTTGCCCGCAGGCTGTGTTCCTCAAGTGCAAAGGTTACATTTTTCACACAGAAACACTGACATTCATTGATGTACCAGAGAACATAAAGAGATGATTGCAAGGAAAATATCTGTGGTTCACAGCCGTTAAAAATTAGGATTGTCAAGATTCTGTTTTCACACTACAGAATCACAATATGACATTGTCCTGTCCAATGGATCCACAGTTCAGAGATAATTCTCAGCCAGAACCCTGTAGTGTCTCATCATACTATCAATCCCAGGATCCCATGGCACTGAAATTGGAATAGTGGTACTACAATTCTGAGTCCCCCCTCAGGGGTGAGAAGGGCAAGGTATAAATATAATAAATAAATAAATAAAGTGAATTAACTGGGTTGTTGTATGCTCCATGTTCTAGAGCAGGGGCCCCCAAACTAAGGTCAGAGGGCTGGATACGGCCCTCCAAGGTCATTTACCCGGCCCTCGCTCAGGGTCAACCTAAGTTTGAAACGACTTGAAAGCACACAACAACAATCCTATCTTACCAGCCAAAAGCAGGCCTGCACTTCCCATTGAAATACTAATAAGTTTATATTTGTTAAAATTTTTCTTCATTTTAATTATTGTATTATTTAAGTGTCTTTTGCACTACAAATAAGATATGTGCAGTGTGCATAGGAATTCATTCATTTTTTTTTTCAAATTATAATCCGGCCCTCCAACAGTTTGAGGGACTGTGACCTGGCCCTCTGTTTAAAAAGTTTGAGGACCCCTGCTCTAGAGGCATTCTCTCCTGATGTTTCGCCTGCATCTATGGCAAGCATCCTCAGAGGTAGTGTCAATGAATTCCTTGTATTGGGAATTGGACTTTAGAAAATAAATCTCCACATCAACAACTCAATCCTTCTAGTGAACTGTAGAAATGGTGTATTACCTGCATTACAGATTCTGCTTTCAAAATCAACACACTGGAAAAGTTTGCACTGTTTTCTTTCACAAGGAGATAAATGGAATAGAGGCCTGATGGGCTTTAATATGACTTATTCACAGGTATCTTCTTGGTTCTGGAGCAACAGGTTAAAACCCCTCTGTCACAATCCTCCACTAGACATTTCAGTCTAGGGAAGAGGCAAGGACATACCTTCCTCTTGATGCTACTTTGGGATTTGTCTCTATCGTTTTTTTCCTTCTCACCATCTTTCTGTGTGCTGTTCTCTTCATTCTGGTCATGATCTCCACTGTCATCATCCTTCAAACTAGCAAAGAGAGAAAGAAAGGAAGGAATCAGTTTGAAAGCATGCAGGAGCAACTATGTTTAGCATAGAACAAAATCCAAAGGACAGAATGTGGTTATTATTAGACCGGCCTGATGGATTCAGGCTACTGAGACAGAGAAGAGATTTTTAAAAGAAGCAGAAATTGCACTTTAGATGCTGAACAAGTTTCCTGTTACTTGTCCCTTTCTATTCAGTCCAGTAATTCTGAAAATTTGGTCCTCCACATGTTTTGGACTTCAGCTTCTAGAATTTCTAAGAATTGGCAAAACTAGTTAGGAACCAAATTCCAAAAAAGCTCATGGATTACAATTTCAGACCACTGATTCAATGTGATAAATGAACTTTTCTGCATTACTATCCAAAGAATATGTGGGTTTTACATGCAGGGAAAACATGGACAAATTCAGCTTCAGATGCATGGTAAATGGGAACATACAGTATGAATCGAACAGAAGCATGTATTTACACCAATTTCAAGTGCAGTTTTTAATGCAAGTTGAGGATCCCTTATCTGAAATGCACAGGACCAGGAAATCCACATATTGGGTATTTTTGGTTTTTAATCATTGCAAATACATAGTGCGAAATCTTGAAGGTAGGACTGAAGTCCCAATGTGAAATTCATTCATGTTTCATATGCACTTTACACACATAGATTGAAGGTAATTTTATACAAAATATTTTTAATAATTTTGTGTATGAAAAAAAGTTTGTGTACACTGAAGTAAACCATCAGAAAGCAGCAGTGTCACTATCTCAGCCATTCATGTTGAGCATTTTGGAGTATTTTGGAATCTCAGATAAGGGATGCTCAACCTTTAGTACTTAGTTACCTAACCCTACTGTATGACACTGTGTAGATAAGGTAAATCTGAAAGGGAAAAGCCATTGCACTCAACTTCACTAGACGTTAAACTAAATAGACTGGATCTGAAAGTGCTTCATTATTGGATGGATGCAGATGTGGATAACAGAAAAATGTGCACATTCCAAATGTGTGTAAAAATACAACACAACCAGACGTAGCCAAAGGGGGAAATCTATGCAAACAAAATGTACACAAAATCAAACTTTAATAAATCACCCAAACGAGAGAATTTCATCTTGTAATATTCCATAATGTGGACATAGGAAGACGTCAGGAGATATTTATTTATTTATTATTTAGGACATTTATAGCCCACCCTTCCACCCCAAAGGGGATTCAGGGCAGCTTACATAATTGGCATTATTCCATGCCCAAACAGCAATATCAATTAAAAGCAATTAATCAACCATTTAAAACAACATTAAAACAACATATGTAAATATTACATGACTATTGTGCATAGATCCAAAGGCAGATAGTCAAATAATCATATTCATCAATCCAGGGCCAATTCCAGCCGTACTGCACAGATAATTATTCTGGGTCAAATGCTGGCTCCCAAAACCAAGTTTTCACTTGTTTGCAAAATGACAGGAGGGAATGGGCTGATCAAATCCCACTAGGGAGGGAGTTCCACAGCTGAGGAGCCACCATTGAGAAGGCCGTCAATCACCCCCACCAGTCGCATCTGCGAAAGTGGTGGGACCAAGAGCAGGGCCTCCCCAGAAGATCTTAACCTCCAAGATGGTTCATAGAGGGAGATGCGTTTGGACAGGTAAGTTGGTCCGGGGTCATTCAGGGCTTTACAGGCCAAAGCCAGCACTCTGAATTAGAAATTAATGACTTGAACATCCCTGTGTTGCTTTCTGGTGGGCTCCTGATCCTTTCCAAGGCATCATTCAAAGTACACCTTTCAAAAATTTGCTACATTGATGCTTATAGCATTATGTTTCTCTCATTTCACTCTTTTTCCACACTGCATTAAAAAAATTCAAACTCTGATCCCTTCTATACTATCCTATATCCCATGATCTGATCCCAGATTATCTGATTTAAGATGAATTATATAAAGCTCCACTGCCAGATAATCTGGGAAAACAAGACAATCTGGGATCAGATCTTGGGATATAAGGGCAGTGTGGAAGGTGCCTCTGTAGTTTTCTAATGTCGTATTACAGAAACAGCATCACTATCTGCAGGCAAGTAGTCATCACCTCACTACCTCTGAGGATGCTTGCCATAGATGCAGGTGAAACGTCAGGAGAAATGCCTCTAGAACATGGCTCTATAGCCCGAAAAAACCCACAAGAACCTAGTGATTCCAGCCATGAAAGCCTTCGACAAGTCATCACCATTTCTAGTCACATGGTCAAAATATTCAGCTGTACTCTTAGAGCCCAGAGATGACATAAAATATCTGCAGGCTGTTGAGCAGTTGCACCTGTAGCACCACACCCTTTGGAGTCTCACAACAGCCTCTTTGAAAGCAATGAGAATTTCCAAACAGTGGGAACCTGTGGACAGGTGTCTTCACCTTATCTGGCTCATGCTGGCTCTGAGACAAACCTAAAAAGTGATTCAAGAGTTCCCTTTTGATAAAAGCTCATGCTTTCCTTCCTCCCTTAACTTCACTTTTCTGCTTCTTGCTATTCCTGGTAGTCCCCTCTCTGCTCTCTTTCCACAAATACCTTTTTAAATAGACAGACCTTTGTATTTCAATTGATTGTGCAGGAGATTTTTAATGGTGTTTTATCATATTTCTAACATGTTCTTTTAAAAAATAGCAATGTTTACATATTTTTTTTTATAACTATGTGGGTTGTTTTAGGAGTATTTTGTTCTATCCTCTTCTGTAAGCTTTATTGGGAGAAAGATTGGATATAAAATAACAAAAGAAAGCAACAGGCAAAAATCAGTTGACAAATTGTTTCCCTACATCTTGCTGTGCACCTGTTTCAGCTGAAATTGTTCCATGATAAGAGGATAATGGGAAGAAGAAAATACAAGGATAACACGCAATGCTCTCAGGCGCACTCCTGCCATCTTTGAGCTGAAATATACCCATAAGTAACCAATGCCTGATAATCTGCCTGATATTAAATGGGATATAACTCTTTACAACAGACTTCCCAAATACTTCATGTTGCTGATATGCTTTTTGGACATGCATCATTTTATGACACAATAATTCAGAGAAAACCCCTTATAAGAGAAATAGACACATAATTAAATTGTAATTATGAACTATTTGGGGAAGTAACATATCTCATGAAAGCCTTTCATTTATATATATCAGGCATAGATCGGCTGTTAGGAATTTTGGGAGTTGAAGTCCAAAACACCTGGAGGGCCAAAGTTTGCCCGTTTCTGATATATATGTATGTGTGAGCGTGCGTGCATGTATATGATTAATTGATTATTTCACACTGCATCCGACACACAAATATGACATGACACCCAGTTTAGAAAGCTCGGCTCGAGGACAATAGTAGTGAAAGAAAATAATTACAGTGGGCCCTTGATATTAACTCAAGTTTGGTTCCAGGATCGTCCATGGATGCCAAAATCTGTGAATGTTCAAGTCCCATTATATACAACAACGTCTCTTATAAAATGGTAAATTAAGATCATAATAAAAGTTCGAGTTTGTTTGATTGATTCTGCAGGCTAAACAGAACCAGCTCTTTAGGGGCCCTTCCGCACAGCCAAATAACCCAGAATATCAAGGCAGAGCCGTTCAGCAGTGGAACTCTCTGCCCCGGAGTGTGGTGGAAGCTCCTTCTTTGGAAGCTTTTAAGCAGAGGCTGGATGGCCATCTGTCAGGGGTGATTTGAATGCAATATTCCTGCTTCTTGGCGGAATGGGGTTGGACTGGATGGCCCATGAGGTCTCTTCCAACTCTTTGATTCTAAGATTCTACAAGTATTTCCAAACTTGGGCCCTCCAGGTGTTTTGGACTCCAACTCCCACAATTCCTAACAGCCGGTAGGCTGTTAGGAATTGTGGGAGTTGGAGTCCAAAACATCTGGAGGGCAGGCCCAGGCCTGGTTTGTAGGAATGCCACTGAAAACTATCTGCTCCTTCCTTTGATTTAGGATGTTGCCTTGAGGCCTAAAGGCGCCACTGAGGCCCGGACTCACGCGTCGAATTTGTTGTTCATCCTCTTCGGTCGTTCGCCAGCCGCTGCTTTGCTTCCTGCCCCGGACTTCCGCTCCTCCGCCTCCATACGCTCCCTTCACTTCCGCCCGGGCGGAACCAATCTTTCTCGGGTTGCTGTTTCCATCCGGACGCGGGACTACAATTCAGGCCACGCTACTTCCTGTGAGCCGCTCTTTATGCCGCGAGTTGTCTATGGTTGTAATATTAGCCGCGTTCCGCCTCGACTCGAAAGACCGCTCCCCAAAAAGGCAGAGATAGAAAATAAAGAGGTATCTCTATACTTCTGGATGTGATATTTCCGGGTTCACTTTGGAACATAGTTTCTTATATATATTGACTTGTAAACTTAGGACAACATTTCTGATAAACATATATAAACATAAAATCAAAGAGTTGGAAGAGACCTCATGGGCCATCCAGTCCAACCCCATTCTGCCAAGAAGCAGGAATATTGCATTCAAAGCACCCCTGACAGATGGCCATCCAGCCTCTGTTTAAAAGCTTCCAAAGAAGGAGCCTCCACCACACTCCAGGCAGAGAGTTCCACTGCTGAACAGCTCTCACATCAGAATCATAGAATCAAAGAGTTGGAAGAGACCTCATGGGCCATCCAGTCCAAACCCATTCTGCCAAGAAGCAGGAATATTGCATTCAAATCACCCCTGACAGATGGCCATCCAGCCTCTGCTTAAACATATCTCAACTTGTAAACTAAGAAAATTATTGATTATAAACCTATATCTCAACTTATAAACTCAGGACATCATTCCTTATAAAATAAAATAAAATAAATCTAAATAAATAAAATAAAATAAAAATAAATCTAAATTATTATTATTATTAAATAAATAATAATTATAATTATAATTTATAGTATTATTATATAATATTATAATAATTATATTATTATTATAATATTACTATATAATATTATAATAAGTATATTAATATTATAAAGTAATAATTTAGATAATAAATCTAAATAAATAAAATAAAAATAAATCTAAATTATTATTATTAAATAAATAATAATTATTATAATTTATAATATTATTATATAATATTATTATAATTATATATTATTTAATAAAAATATTTTATAATAGCATTTGCGATACATTCTATTTTCATATATATATAAAATACTGTGTAAAATAAAAATAAATCTTAATTATTATTATTATTATTAAATAAATAATTATTATTATAATTTATAATATTATTATATTTTATAATTATATATTATTTAATATAAATATTTTATAATAGCATTTGCGATACATTCTATTTTCATATATATATATAAAATACTGTGTAAAATAAAAATAAATCTAAATTACTATTATTATTAAATACATTATAATTATAATTTACAATATTATTATATAATATTATAATAATTATATTATTATTATAAAATAATAATTTAGATAATAAATCTAAATAAATAAAATAAAAATAAATCTAAATTATTATTATTATTAAATAATAATAATAATTTTAATATTATAATATAATATTATTATAATTATATATTATTTAATAAAAATATTTTATAATAGCATTTGCGATACATTCTGTTTTCATATATATATAAAATACTGTATAAAATAAAAATAAATCTAAGTTATTATTAAATAAATAATTATTATTATAATTTATAATATTATTATATAATATTATAATAATTATATTATTATAAAATAATAATTTAGATTTATTTTTATTTTATACAGTATTATATCTATCTATGTATCTATCTATATATGAAAATAGAATGTATTGCAAATGCTATTAGAAAATATTTTTATTAAATAATGAATTATAATTAAAATATTTTATTTATATAATAAAATTTATATCAGTGTATAAACTTATATCGGTGTATCTGAAAAATAATGTCTATAGAAATCAATACAGAGAGATGCAATATTTTTGTAATGGTCTAACAAAAGCAATATAAATAATGCAATATACTACTTTTGTAAAGTAATAATTTCAATATATTTTTATTATTTAATTTTTATTTTATACAGTAATATATATATATATGTGTGTGTGTGTGTGTGTGTGTGTGTGTGTGTGTGTGTTACTAATATACATTTTAATATTTATTTATTTATTTATTTATGACATTTATATGCCACCCTTCTCACCCCCGAGGGGCTTACAAGTAAAAAATAAATACAATATATTATATATTAAATAAATACAATATATTATATTATTACCATAGCACAATATTAATATTACATATTACATTGTACTATAACATTATACTGTAATATTATTAGTAATATCACATTTAATATAAAACATATAATTATAATATCATATAAAAAACGTGGGGTTGCCCTTGAAGACTGCCCGGAAGCTTCAGATGGTCCAGCGCTCGGCAGCCAGGTTGCTAACGGGAGCGGCACTCAGGGAGCATACCACTCCTCTGTTGAGCCAGCTCCACTGGCTGCCAATCCGCTACCGGGCACAATTCAAGGTGCTGGCTTTAGCCTATAAAGCCCTAAATGGTTCTGGCCCCGCTTACCTCTCTGAACGCATCTCCACCTATGAACCGACTAGAACATTAAGATCGTCTGGGGAGGCCCTGCTCTCGATCCCGCCTGCGTCACAGGCGCGCTTGGCGGGGACGAGAGACAGGGCCTTCTCAGTAGTGGCCGCTCGGCTATGGAATGCCTTACCTCAGACATCAGACAGGCACCTTCGTTGCTGACGTTTTGGAGAATGGTTAAGACCTGGCTTTATGAACAAGCGTTTGGTTAAGCAGTGCAACCAATCAAAGGAAGACGGTAAATGGAACATAGGAATGGCACAAAGATTATGAGAACGGATCTGACTTTAACTGAGGCGTTATGTTATGTTTGTTTTGTTGATTTGTCTTGTTTGATTGTTAATTGTTGTGGATTGATGCTGTTGATCCTGTTTGTTGCATTGTTATGTTTTAATTGCACTGACACTGTTTGATAATTGTACCATGTAAACCGCATGGAGTCGCCTGTTTGGGCTGAAAAATGCGGTATAGAAATAAAGCAAATAAATAAATAAATAAATAATAAATAGTAGTATATTGTATTACATTGTTATTTTTCAATACATTAAAATATGATTATTTATTTTATTGAAATTATTTATTATTACAAGCTATAAATAATAGTTTTGTATCTTATAATAATGAAAATAAAATTTGTAAATCTTTATATATATATGTTTATAACAATGTAATTCTTATAGAGCTGGAATTTAGGGATCTTTGCCAGGAGGCAGAGACTAATCTTTAAAGAGTTTGTTACCCTGGCGAGACAGAGAGAAGCACGTAATCCCTGATTTTTCCCAGTAAAAGGTCTCACCAAGTGGAAGGAAGTGCCACCAAGGTTTATTAGCGATTCAGCTGAAAAGAATGCAGAGCAGCAATCATTCGCCAAGCAGAGCATGTGGTTACAGAAATAAATGGCATTTTTATAGAAAATACAGAGTTGTGGGTTTCAAAATACCCGCTCCCATCCCCTAGCCCAGCTTGAAGGTGATTGGCTGGCGCGCTAACAGCTGGGAGGGGGCCTGGCCGCCCTCCGTGCGCCTGGGCCAATCACAGGGCTTCCGCGGAGCGCCTGAGCCAATCAGGAAACTCCTGCTGCCTCAATGCGAATCAGGAGGGAGGGAGGCGGGATGAAGGGAAACAATGCATTATTGAGTGGACTATGGAGTTTTTAATGTCCTTAGGCTTATCGAGTCCAGGGATCGGCCTTCCAGAGAAGCCACTCTATTGTCCTGAGATGGCTCTGTGATAAGCTTTGATTGCTTAATCCGGGTTTTCCCCTTGCAATCAGATAGGGCACGAAGGGGAAACTTTAGTGAATGTCCTTAGTGGAGAGGCTTGAAAGAAAAACGGCTTGGAGAAAAAGAGGACTTTCCAAAGGTCATACTCCCCCCATTGTTATATGATTAAAAAGTCTGTCAGACAGAAACCTTTAAGATGGCCCAACTCTGAAGTCAAAAGGATTTCCTTTATTATTGTCCATGCAAAGAATGTCCAAAGATAAGGGTCTTTTCATGATTGTTGATTGCTTTTCCAGAGGCAGGGCAGCTTCCTTGTAGATTTCCCCCAAGGAGAGGGGAAGGGGGCAAAAGGGTCAGGGCAAGGTCAAATACATGAAGGGAAATATAGAAATACAGGAGAAAATATGAAAATATAGAAGTCATAACACAGAGAGTAAACCCAACTACCTTCCCCCAGTGTCCATAGTTCATATTACTCATAGGAAGGTCCATAAAGGGAAATATATCCATGAGGGGGAAAGAGAGTCCCTTGTTTGTGAGATGGGGGACCATCAGGAGCCCAGGAGTGCCTCAGGTGGGAAAATTCAAATACTTTTGTGGCATGATTTTCAGTAATAAATTGGTTACCTTCTTCTGTAAACATATGAAAATAGGGCATAAAGCCTTGATTAAATGATACACACCAAACTGACCAAGGCTTAACCCTTATTATCCAGCCTGGTGTCCTTGCCCTTAGCAAAACTATAAGTTACTATATTTTATGGGGGGGGGGGTGTCATGTTCGACTTCATAATAACAATAATTGTATGCTAAATTATTATAATTATATTTTATCATAATCATTTTAGAGCATTGATGAAAAATAGCAACACAGGGAGGTGTGGATTCATAGGTTTCATGGTCTAGCTCCAGTGAACATAATAGAGTAACACTATAATAATAAATGTACTACTAATAAACTTTCTTTATGTCCTTCCCTATCACCCTGTGGGGACTCAGGGCGGTTTAAAACAGGCAGCGGCAAACATTCAATAGATGTTTGAATAGATGTTTGAAATGGATGAGGACACAACATATCTGATGAAAATCTTTTATTGATATTTTTCAATACATTAAAAATATGCTTATTTCCCAGAGACTCACAGGTTCCTTGTTACATTCACCTACACACTTCATATTACACAGTTTTGAAAGCTCTGACATAGTGTGCTAATTGAAACAATAGCTTCCAAATCTGCTTCCCTCTTTTGGTGAATCAATAAAGAAATGCTGGAGGAATAAAGGTGCAAATGACTAGATATGAGAGGTCAACTTGAATTACTTAAATGAAGGGCTAGAAGGCATGATCATCAAGTTTGCAGACGGCACCAAATTGGGAGAGAGAGCCAATACTCCAGAGGACAGGAGCAGGATTCAAAACCATCTTCACAGATTAGACAGATGATGGGCCAAAACTAACAAAATGAAGTTTAACAGGGACAAATGCAAGATACTCCACTTTGGCAGGAAAAACGAAATGCAAAGAGACAGAATGGGGGACAATGCCTGGCTCGAGAGCAGTACGTGTGAAAGAGATCTTGGAGTCCTCGTGGACAACAAGTTAAACATGAGCCAACAATGTCATGTGGCGGCAAAAAAAGCCAATGGGATTTTGGCCTGCATCAATAGGAGCCTAGTGTCTAGATCTAGGGAAGTCATGCTTCCCATGCTCTATTCTGCCTTTGTTAGACCACACCTGGAATATTGTGTCCAATTCTGGGCACCACAACTGAATGGAGATGTTGATTCTAAGCTGGAATGTGTCCAGAGGAGGGTGACTAAAATGATCAAGGGTCTGGAGAACAAGCACTATGAGGAGCGGCTTAAAGAGCTGGGCATGTTTAGCCTGAAGAAATGAAGGCTGAGAGGAGACATGATAGCCATGTATAAATATGTGAGTGGAAGGCATGGGGAGGAGGGAGTAAGCTTGTTTTCTGCTTCCCTGGAAACTAGGACATGGAACAATGGTTTCAAACTACAAGAAAGGAGATTCCATCTGAACATGAGGAAGAACTTCCTGACTGTGAGAGCCGTTCAGCAGTGGAACTCTCTGCCCCGGAGTGTGGTGGAGGCTCCTTCTTTGGAGGCTTTTAAACAGAGGCTGGATGGCTATCTGTCAGGGGTGATTTGAATGCAATATTCCTGCTTCTTGGCAGAATGGGGTTGGACTGGATGGCCCATGAGGTCTCTTCCAACTCTATGAATCTTTGATTCTATGATTCTATGAGGCTTTTAAACAGAGGCTGGATGGCCATCTGTCTGGGATGCTTTGAATGCAATTTTCCTGCTTCTTGGCAGGGGGTTGGAATGGATGGCCTACGAGGTCTCCTCCAACTCTAGGATTCTATTATTCTATGATTCTACTGTCACATCTGCACCAATTATAATTCAGGAGATGTGGTCTAGTTTATAACAATAATCCAGGTCACTTGGTATCATGGGAGCCCCTGGTGGTGCAATGGGTTAAATCCTTGTTCTGGAAGAACTGCTGACCAACAGGTCAGCAGTTCAAATCCAGGGAGAACGGGTTGAGCTCCCTCTGTCAGCTCCAGCTCCCCATGTGGGGACATGAGAGAAGCCTCCAACAAGGATGGTAAAACATCAAACATCTGGGTGTCCTCTGGGCAATGTCCTTGCAGACGTACAATTCTCTCACGCCAGAAGGATGATAAAACATCAAACATCCGGGTGTCCTCTGGGCAATGTCCTTGCAGACATACAACTCTCTCACACCAGAAGCAATTTGCAGTTTCTCAAGTTGCTCCTGGCACAAAAAAATCCAAACTTCATATCATAGTCCCAGTGGAGTGAAGGAGATGTGATGATGAAGAATCCTTCTCCTACTGCCAGCAATATAGACTTCACTATGGTGCAGAGCTGCAAAACCTTCATAAATTTCATTTTCACTAGTAAAAATGGAACCATTTCCCCATTTCCTGCTTGAAACAAGAAGCTGTCAAAAACTGAACAGTTTTGGAAACAATCTACATTTCGGGTGTATTCTGTGCAAATGCGTGTGTTCTTTTCATCTTAAAAAAGTTGACATTTTGTGGACAAAAAACTGTTTCTTATTTTCCTATTTTGGCAATGTTTATTTCCTGTGTCAAGCTGCTGCCTTGCGAGGAACAGCGCGGATCATATATGGAAAGGGCTGCACGGCAAACCTCCCTTGCACCGGCCTTATGCTGAGTTCCTTGGTTCCTTCCAGGTGCTCCATTGTGAATGCTTGAAGGAGATTTGTGAGGAAAAGGAAAAGCTCCATTTTTGCAAGGTTCTCCCCCAGACACAGACGCTGCCCTGGAGAAGGAAAAGTAAACCACTGAATGAAAATAGAAACTTCCCCAAGAAAAAATGCTCAAAAATATCTTTAAAATGATAAAGAATGTATTTTATCAAGAACTGCCAATGGGAAGAATCCAAGACTACAATAATCTTTGCAATTTGAAACATATTTTGTATAAAATCTGTACAGAGATATTTTGCAAAGGAAATTGTATTTTCTGTACAGAAAATTGTATTTTCTGCACATAAATTAATATTTCCACATAGAAATAGTGTCTGGAATCCCGTTGGGAAGTTATGAATGCATAGGCCATATGGTTAAGGTGCTGTGCCATGATATGAGCTGCGCAGTAATTGGAAATCTGTTCCTCTGTATGTTGTCGAAGGCTTTCATGGCTGGAATCACTGGGTTCTTGTAGGTTTTTTCGGGCTATATGGCCATGTTCTAGAGGCATTCCCTCCTGACGTTTTGCCTGCATCTATGGCAAGCATGCTCAGAGGTAATATTGATTACATGGATCTTTTAACTGATCCTATTTTTAATAGAGGTTGTTTTATCAAATGTTCATACCTGGTTTATGTAATGTTTTCATGTTGATGCATTTTATTTTATGTGATGATCTTTGTGTGCTATTTTGTAAGTCGCCCCAAGCCCCTATGGGAGATGGTGGTGGGGTATAAATAAAGTCTTCTTCTTCTTCCTCTTCTTCTTCTTCTTCAGATGAGGGGCCATATATAACCCCATCAGATTTTAGAGTTTGTCTTACCCTGTTAGGTTAATTCCTTTATTATAAACATTTTTATTGTGCACATGAGCCGCTTTGAGTCTTCTTGTGGAGAGAAAAAGCAGCATATAAATAAAGATAATAATAATAAACATAACAACAACAACAACAACAACAACAACAACAACAACAACAGGGAACTGCTTGATATTGACTCAAACAATTGCTCTGTGTTTCAAAGGTCCAGTATTGTTGACCCTGATTGACCTTCCTTCTATTTTTGTACCAAACTCTGAATTAAATTTACCTAATGAAAATGGAATGAAGGCATCTCTGGTGAAGAATTTCCCATCCTTGTCCAGGAAGTGATTGGGGTTGAACTGATGGGGTGTCTCCCACTGTTCGGGGTCATACAACGCAGAAGCAATATCAGGTGCAATGACTGTGCCCTGAAAAACAATATAAATAAGATTTAATGTATTGTCGAAGGCTTTCATGGCTGGAATCACTAGGTTCTTGTGGGTTTTTTCGGGCTATAGGGCCATGTTCTAGAGGCATTTCTCCTGACGTTTCGCCTGCATCTATGGCAAGCATCCTCAGAGGTAGTGAGGTCTGTTGGAATTAGGACAAAGGGTTTATATATCTGTGGAATGGCTGGGGTGGGGCAAGGAGCTCTTCCCTGCTGCAGTTAGGTGTGAATGTTTCAGCTGATCACCTTCATTAGCATTTGAAGGCCTGCCTGAGCCTGGGAAAATCTCTTGCTGGGAGGTGTTAATCTGTGCCTGGTTGTTTCCTCTCTGTTGTTGTGCAGTTGTAATTTTAGAGTTTTTTAATACTGGTAGCCAGATTTTGTTCATTTTCATGGTCTCCTTTCTGTTGAAATTGTCCACATGCTTGTGGATTTCAATGGCTTCTCTGTGTAGTCTGACATGGTGGTTGTGAGAGTGGTCCAGCATTTCTGTGTTCTCAAATAATATGCTGTGTCCAGGTTGGTTCATCAGGTGCTCTGCTATGGCTGACTTCTCTGGTTGACGTAGTCTGCAGTGCCTTTCATGTTCCTTGATGCGTGTCTGGGCGCTGCGTTTGGTGGTTTCTATGTAGACTTGTCCACAGCTGCATGGTATACGGTAGACTCCTGCAGAGGTGAGAGGATCCCTCTTGTCCTTTGCTTAACGTAGCATTTGTTGGATTTTCTTGGTGGGTTTGTAGATTGTTTGTATGTTGTGTTTCCTCATCAGCTTCCCTATGCCGTCAGTGGTTCCCTTGATGTATGGCAGGAACACTTTTCCTCTGGGTGGATCTTCATCTTTACTCTTGTGGCTTGTTCTTGGTCTGGCAGCTCTTCTGATGTCTGAGGTGGAGTATCCATTGGCCTGGAGAGCCCAGTTGAGGTGGTTCAGTTCATCTTGGAGGAGGTGGGGTTCGCAGATTCTTTTTGCACGGTCTCTCTGAGGATGCTTGCCATAGATCTAGGCGAAACGTCAGGAGAAATGCCTCTAGAACATGGCTCTATAGCCCGAAAAAAACCCACAAGAACCTAGTAAATAAGATGTATTTATTTATTTATTTATTTATTTATTTATTTACTTATTTATTTTAGTTTCATCATTTCTGTAACAAACCGGATCATGTCCAGAGGAGTACAAACAAAAATGGCAAAAGGTCGGAAAATGTGGACCAATTACATTGTGAATATAGACTGAGGATGATTAGCCACCTCTTTCATTCCATTCCATTCCATCGTGTAGACCTTCCAATACCATTTGGAGAGCTTCATGTTATATCAGAGCTATATCTCATTTAATAAAATAGATGTGTTTAAATATGCACTGTTCTGTCGCGCGCTGGGCCTGTAATAGCTGTAGTTTTCGATAGGACGTATACTTTAGCCCAGCGGGAAGCCAGGGGCGCCTCAAAGAGAGGTTCTTAGGGATTTTTTCTGAAGTGATGGTCTTTAGAGTCTTTAATGATGCAACAAAGTCTTTATTATGGAACAAACAACAAATCTTCAAAGGTTCAAACAACACTTTAAGGCTTTCTTAGACTAGTCTTCAATGGACTGGCACCTGACTTTGATCAACTGAACCTTCTCTGTAGGAAAACCCCCTTTTTAACCTCTCCCAGGCTGATTTCTATCTATGCCTCATCGGTATGGGTGCTACTACCGAATCCAAGTGCGTCTGGGTATCGAGCAGACCTTACCGGCTGAGGCTTGAAGCTATTTCAGCTGAGTTCAGTAAATTTCAGTTTCTCTGGTTGCTCCTTTTTCCTTGGACTTCAGTTTCCCTGGATGATCAGTTTCCTTTTTTCCCTGGAAGCTCTTAAGAAAGGAAGTTTTTCTACGGGACGAGCTGGTCTACGTCCTATAGCTTAGTTACCTTGTGTGAGACTGCCCAAAATGGCTCCTTTCCCTCCCAGAGCCTGAACAGGGGCGGAACCAAAGGTTAATTAAGATGGACAGGAGGCCTGCCCTATAACTGCAAACTTTAACAGAAAGAAATAAAGTTGGAGCTCCTGGTACAGCCGTACCAGCACATGCACCTATATAGATGTAGCTAGGCGTATTGTTCACATTCTCTACCTTTTTAATTGGAAACCCAAGTACAGCACCATCTTTTGCACATAGTCTGAAAGTTCCAACTAAGAGGACAAATTTGAAGCGCTGGATTTCATGAATGACTGCGTTGGTGTACGGCATGTTCTTCCGGTCCTCATAGAAGATTTGTTGGGAAGGTGTCAGAACGGTGTCAATCTCCTCCTGAATTTTCTCTAAGGAAGTAGAGAAGTGGGACAGTGTTATTGCAGAACCAACAAAGTATCGCATTGTGCATGTCTGGAAATCAACACGCCCTCTCTGCCAAAGCCTGAAGGCATTTCCCATTGCCATGAACACAAATGTCAAAACTTTAATCAGCTGATTAAAGTTTAATGGTTTGAAATAGATTAACACTGGATAGCTGTAATTGTTGTCTTAGAACAGGGACTGTAAATCCTCAAGTATTTATTTCCACTTCATATGCAAGAACCACTAGGGAGAAAGCATACATTCCTCTACAGCATGTATTGTCCCACTTCTGTATTCCTAAGAGGAAATTCACAAGGAGACAGCACAAAGTGTTGTGAAAACATAAATATCTAAAGAAAAATATACACATTTCTTGCACAAAACCTTTTTTTCCATACAGAATCGGGAAACAGGAAACTAATTTTCTGTACAGGATAGTTGTTTTCTGCATGGGAAACGACTATTATTATTATTTTACTGACACAAAACCATAGTATGTCACAGCAGTGAGATAGATATGCTGGATTTCATATCACAAAATCACAAGTCGAACACTTCCTAAGCATTTAGGACTGGGTGATGTATTTTCGAATGATGCGTGCAGATCCAAGTAAATCATCATCATCATCATCATCATCATCATCATCATCATCATCATCATCTTTATTTATACCCCACTACCATCTCCCCAAGGGACTCGGTGCGGCTTACGTGAGGCCGAGCCCAAAGTACATTAACAGTAAAAGCAATAAGAAAACAATCAATACAACAGTTAAAATAAATCTCAGAAACAAAAGTAAACAATAGACAGTAACAATAACAACAAGCATTAAAAACCTATGGCTGGGCCAAATGCAACAATTTAAAATTTAAAAAATAATGCTGGACATGGACAAGGTAGGATATAACTGGGATAGAGTTTTCAGGTAGAGATGAGGCGCGCAGACAATCCTAAATCAGTGATAAAGTGCATTTAGGGGACATATTGCTGAGGGTATTTCCTTATTTTGGGAAGGCACACTGGAACAACCACTTTTCAGGCTCCTCCTAAAGACAGCCAGAGTTGGGGCATGTCTGATGTTCCTGGAGAGCGAGTTCCAGAGTCGAGGGGCCACCACCGAGAAGGCCCTTGATAATCTAGATTATCAAAGCAGATATTGCACATTATCTTTGAACTGGGTTATGTGAGGCCCCTTCTACACTGCCATATAATCCAGTTTAAAGCAGATAATCTGTATTTTGTATGAGTGTAGAAGGGGCCTGTATCTGAATGGGGTGAATTATCATTTACTGAAATCATAGTTTCTCTGCAAACCAAAATGTCAAATCATGGTTCATGGCATTTGGATTCAACAGCAAATTATGCTTTGCCTCTTACAAGAGGTGTCTAATCTGCGTTCCTCACATCAGAGAAGGTCCTCTTCTCATGCTGCACATGCTAATAACAATCCATTATATTAAAGCTGAAAAACCATTGTGACATGGCCTTTTGCAGTTGACCGATCGTGATTTTGTCAATTTTTATTGTTTCCAAATGCTGGCTGAGATCTTTTGGTACGGCACCCAGTGTGCCGATGACCACTGGGACCACCTGTACTGCTTTATGCCAAAGCCGTTGCAATTTGATTTTGAGGTCCCGATAACAGCTGAGTTTTTCCTGTTGTTTTTTGTCATTGCGACAGTCACCCAGAATGGCAACATCAATAATCCAAACTTTTTCTTTTCCACAATCATGGTGTCTGGTATATTGTGTTCCAAAGCGTTGTCAGTCTGGATTCGAAAGTCCCACCTCATCATCATCATCATCAACAACAACAACAACAACAACAACATTAGAACCACAACAAGAGTGGTACACAACAAATAAGATCATTATGCTGGCTGTTGTATTGGATCACACGTCGGACACTTCCCAAGTGTCTAGAACTATGTGATATATTGGCGAATAATGAATGCAGATCTGAGTAGGGTGGCCTTTTGTAGCTGAAAGGTGGTAATTTTGTTACCACCAATTGTGTTTAAGTGCATGCCAAGGTCTTTAGGCACTGCACCCAGTGTGCCGATAACCACTGGGACCACCTTGACTGGCTTGAGCCAGAGTCTTTGCAGTTCGATCTTTAAATTCTCATATCATGTCATCTTTTCCAGTTGTTTCTCTTCAATTCTGCTGTCTCCTGGGATTGCAACATTGACAATCTATACTTTTTTTTTTTACACGATTGTGAGGTCAGGAATATTGTGTTCCAAAACTCTGTCAGTCTGAATTCAGAAGTCCCAGAGTAGTTTGACATGTTCAGTTTCTGTAACTTTTTTAGGCTTGTGATCCCACCAGTTCTTTGACATCATCATCACCATCATCATCATTATGTTTATTAATACACCATTTTATCTCTCTGAATTAAACAAGACAGGGCATAAATAAAGCGGGATAACACAATATAATGCAATGAAATATAAGTATTGCCTTGAGGCAAACAACATTTAAAAGAAAAACAACTACACTTCTCAGCCCAGCTATATCTTGTGCACTGATTTTTTCCCCACATCTACAGAGAAAAACTTTACGATGGGAAACTATTGGCTCATGCTGCTCTCACACTTCAAAAACAACCTCTTAGAAAAACAACTCCTGCTCTTTTGGTTAATCCATATTTTTGCATGAAACCATTCACGATATTCTAAGTGCACTCATGTAACCATCCCTGTGGCCCCAAAAGCTTACCTTGAACATCTGGATGCACCACCATGAAGAGCAGTGCCCACCGCAAGGTGGTGGCAACGGTGTCCGTCCCTGCCGTGAAGAGGTCGTAAATAACATAAACCAAGTTGTCTTCATCAAATGTCGATGTAGGATCGTGTCTTTTCTGTTGTTTACAATTTAAAGAATAATTACTAAACCTCAAACCTCACTGAGCTAATCTATTGTGTTAATCTCAATCTCACTTTCAAGAGGTATGGATATTAATCTATTGTGAGGACATGTTTTTGTTTCATTTTCATGGAATCGTATCATAGCATTGGAGGAGACCCCAAGGGTCACCTGGTCCAATCCCATTTTGCCGTACAGGAACACACAAATACACAAAGCATGTGGCGGCGCGAGTGGCGCCACCTGTGTGTAGAACTTTAAAGTGCAAAGGTTTAAACTGTATAACATGCCCATACTTGCTTAGTTTGTAAATGTATAGTTGGATTGATTGGTTATTTATAGCTGTCAATCAATGTTGTTTGCACCAGTTATATTGCTTCTTCAGCTCAATTGCTTGGCTCCACCTCTTCCTGGAGGAGGGCAGAGCCTTTCCTTTTCCATTCTGTCATCAAACTTTCTATCAGATAGACGTGAGAAAGAGACTTGGCTCTAAAGTCCTTAATTAAGTTACCTCTCATCACCAATTCTAAGGTTTTTACCCTTGGGACTCATTCTTCATGCCCAGATTGCCCTGGACAACATTGAGGAGACCCAAGCGCCTTCAAACCGGTCCTTTGGCATCAAAAGGAAGACCCTGTGCCTTCAACATAGGCCATTGGACTGGGGGTTGTGTTTGTTCCAACTTTCACAGCCATTGAGAAAAGAGGGAACAGGAAAGGCTTCTCAGCTGCGAAATCTCCTTGAACCCAAGACAACCAGAGACTGTAATGTATATTTCCTTTACCCCCTTTGAAACTTCCAGCTTATTCCTTATAACTCTTTGTGAACAATAAAACCTATTTTGAGTTATCTACAGTGTTTTGATCCTTGGGAGTTCCAGTTCTCTAAAGGAAGGCAAGAAGCAATCCCCTGGGGGAGAGATGTCACGTCTATGCCTCTCTCACTAAGAGTTATAGCCCCCAGGTGCGACAGCATAAAGCAGTCCTGAGAGATGGCCATCCAGCTTCTGATTAAACACCTCCAGAGAAGAAGACTTCAACATGCTCCAACTGCCAGCTAGGTTTTACCACTAGCAGATTCTTCCTAATGTTTAGGTGGAATCTCTTTTTGTGAAGGTTAAATCCAATGTGTGTTTGCTTCGGTATCCCAGATGCTGAATTAAGCCCACTTGACAGCTGCAGGTCAGTTCTGTTTTGGAATCAGACCAGCGGTATTGATACCTCAAACTCTGGGGAGAACCCAAATATGGTGCAGGATTTGGGTTGCCCCCTGAGTTAACTTAACCTGGGGAAAAGATGCTTTAAGGCGGCCTTCCTCTGGTTAAACTGGATCATCCTTGAATAGCATTTAGTTGCCACAGGGTTGATCTAAGATCATACCTATCTAAGTTGAGATGTGCCCATAGTCTCTGAAGCAGCAAAAAACAAACTTGCTGCCTCCTCAATATGACATCTTTTCAAGTATTCAGACATGGCTATCATGTCCCCTCTTAACCTTCTCCTCCTTGGGCTAAACTAATTCACCTCCTTAATTTGCTGATGGCTTCCAGAACCTTGTCCATTTTGGTTGCAATTCTCTGAAAATGTTTCTGCTTGTCAATATCTTCCTTGATTTTTTGGTGCCCAGAACTGGACACAGTAATTCAGGCGAGATCTGATCAAAGCAGAATAAACTGGGATTATGACTTTTCTTGAGCTAGACACTATATTCCTATTGATGCAGCCTACAATCACAGTGGGTCTTAACCTGCCACATTGTACTATTTACACATGTTCCATTTAGGGTCTACCAAAACTCCTAGATCTCTTTCATATGTACTGTGGTCAAGTCAGGTGTCATGCATCCTATATCTGATTAGTTATATTTAGGTTTGAGAAATTCAATATATTCAAAATTCTTTCTATTTGAGCAACTCTTCCCCTGGGTTGTTGTAGGTTTTTTCGGGCTATATGGCCATGGTCTAGAGGCATTCTCTCCTGACGTTTTGCCTGCATCTATGGCAAGCATCCTCAGAGGGAGTGAGGTCTGTTGGAACTAGGAAAAGAGGGTTTATATATCTGTAGAATGACCAGGGTGGGACAAAGGACTCTTATCTGTTGGAGCTAGGAGTGAATGTTTCACACAGCATTTTGTTTGAGAACACAGAAATGCTGGACCACTCTCACAACTAAGGCAGGATCAGATCCCATATTTTTATAGATCAATGGACCTAATAGTTGTGATGGCAAATACCCCTCAATTTTGTTCTATAGGCTTTTCAGAAAATATAGCTTTAGTTTTACAAAGTGCCGGAGTCTTCATGTAGAAAGGAGAACGGATATAGACTTGACCATATTTGGGAAACAAAGACGGGTTTTGGTGCCAAAGAGAAGTTTTTTGTGCAAGGGTGAAGTATCGGTCAAGAGACAGTGCTGACTTTGCCAGATCAGTGCTGACTTTGCCAGATTAACAGATGTCCCCAGCTGTATTTTGCATATCAGCATCTTGAGATGTTTCCAAAAAGGGGCTTGCTTATTGGGAAACGAAACTTAAAAAGTGTATGATCTAATTGCTTAACATATGTATAATATTGACAGCTCTTTTAACCAATGATTTAATCTTTGGGGCGGCTCTTAAGGCCGAACCCCTTTGTATGTATAAAATAACTCTAACCCTTTGTGCTGGTGTGACTTTCCCCAGAGACGCCTTGTTGCGTCGGAAAGTCAACTAGCAGCTGCTATACAAAATAAACTTTGATATTCTTGCTGAACCCAGTTGGCTGTTTTTCCTGACTCATCTGCGCTCGCAATCGAACTTGGTTTAAACAATTTGGCTAAGCTCTTGAGCATTGCTCAGGGGAAGAAAAAAAGCCTGCTTCACAAACACCATGTCAGAGTACACAGAGAAGCCATTGAAATACACAAGAAGCATGTGGACAATTTCAACAGAAAGGAGGCAACCATGAAAATGAAAAAAATCTGGCTACCAGTATTAAAAAACTCTAAAATTACAACAGCAAAACAACAGAGAGGAAACAAACAAGGACATCTAATCACCTCTCAACAAAAGATTGCTCCAGGCACTGCCAGGCCGTCAAATGCTAATCAAGGTGGTCAGATGAAACATTCACACCTAGCTCCAGCAGACAAGAGTCCTTTGTCTCACCCTGGTCATTCCAGAGATATATAAACCCTTTTTCCTAGTTCCAACAGACCTCACTACCTCTGAGGATGCTTGCCATAGATGCAGGCGAAACGTCAGGAGAGAATGCCTCTAGAACATGGCCATATAGCCCGAAAAAACCTACGACAACCCAGTGATTCCAGCCATGAAAGCCTTCGACAATACATTGTGGGATTTTCTAAAAATCACTTTATGGATAAAGGAAAAGTGACATATTTCTCCATCAACTTGACAGTCACAAGGATCACTTACTTTGTCAATCTCGTCCAAGTAGAAGTCAATGAAATCCTGTGGCTCATCCTCTGGTTTCTTCTTCTCCAAGTGTTTTTTAATTTCATTCCTCCCAAACAAATGGATAAATTCCAAGCATGAAAAGGCCTTCTGATGAGGTCCGGGGAGATGGCGCATGAGCCATGGGGAAAGTTCATACAACTAGACAGAGAAGATGGAAAAAGAGAAGACAGCGAGCAAACACTGTTTTCTATGCAGTAGTCATGGTTAGATGTGTTGCTCAATATTTGATGTGGGTAGTTGATGTTTGCTGAGGTTTGGCTGTAAATCACCCCCCCCCCGCCCCCCCCAAAAAGACCAGGCAGAAATGTGGAAGGAAGCCAGGGGTGGCTGTGGAAAATATTCTGCTGGACCCAGAAATGTGCCTATTAGGATTATTTAGAATGTGTATCAGTGCAGGAGATGAAGAAATTTGTCGATATTGCTTTGTTGACTAATAATAGCCAAAACTTGGAAAGGGGAAAAAGAGTTATCTATTAAAGATTGGAGAGATAATTTAGCAGATTATATCCAAATGGCCAAGCTGACAACTAGCAGCAGAGGAGGAAATAATGAAGAATTTGCAAACAAATGGAGGCTGGCAGTTGGGTATTTAGAAAAGAAGACAAAGGTAAACTTGAAGATTTCCATAAAGGGGATTCAGTGAAAGACGATATTTGGGTAGTTGTTGTTTAGTAATGTGATCCTGTTTTGAGGGGTTTCGGAGGTCAGGGGGTGGGGTTCACAAATGCATTTGGGGGTGATGAATAACTGTAAGGGAGCGGTGAAAGCATAAAAGAAAGAAGAGAAGATTTAGAAAAATTGATTTCCAGGGGGTAGGCCAAATAAGTTTGGGAACCACTGCTATAACTAAATAGAATGCATAGAGTGGTTCTAAGGCAGATCCAGACAGGCCTTTATCCCAGGAGAATTCACGTTTTAAAAATGAGGATTTTCCTGGGGGCCTGTCCACACACATTGCAGAAAGTGAGCACTTTCTGAGGTGGATGTCCAGATGCTCTTGTGGGACTGGGCCACAAGAACACCTGGAGACCCTACCCCACTCCCCCAAAGCCCCCAGACCCCTTGGAAAAGTAAAATACACTTTTCTGGTCTCCATTACAGTCTTGAAGCAGCTGTCCCAGCATGTAGAAATGACATGCCAGGAGAGCAGAGGGGGGAGCGATTTTCTCCCCCCCCCCCCTGTTCTCCTGGCACGTCATTTCTAAACACCCTTGATCCATCATTTCATCCCTTATGTCATGACCTTCTTTTCTGGTTTTGTGTTCTGGAACCAGAACAGAAGGCCACGCCTTGGCCTGTGCATATTTGAAACAAGGAAAGGAGTTTCAATGTATTGTCGAAGGCTTTCATGGCTGGAATCACTAGGTTCTTGTGGGTTTTTTCGGGCTATAGGGCCATGTTCTAGAGGCATTTCTCCTGACGTTTCACCTGCATCTATGGCAAGCATCCTCAGAGGTAGTGAGGTCTGTTGGAAATAGGAAAATGGGTTTATATATCTGTGGAATGGCTGGGGTGGGGCAAAGAGCTCTTCTGCTGAAGCTAGGTGTGAATGTTTCAGCTGACCACCTTCATTAGCATTTGAAGGCCTGCTGAGCCTGGGAAAATCCCCTGTTGAGAGGTGTTAAGCTGTGCCTGGTTGTTTCCTCTCTGTGTTTTGCTGTTGTAATTTTAGAGTTTTTTAATACTGGTAGCCAGATTTTGTTCATTTTCATGGTCTCTTCCTTTCTGTTGAAATTGTCCACATGCTTGTGGATTTCAATGGCTTCTCTGTGTAGTCTGACATGGTGGTTGTGAGAGTGGTCCAGCATTTCTGTGTTCTCAAATAATATGCTGTGTCCAGGCTGGTTCAACAGGTGCCCCTCTATGGCTGACTTCTCTGGTTGAAGTAGTCTGCAGTGCCTTTCATGTTCCTTGATGCGTGTCTGGGCGCTGCGTTTGGTGGTCCCTATGTAGACTTGTCCACAGCTGCATGGTACACGGTAGGCTCCTGCAGAGGTGAGTTTCAGTGGAAATGAGAGCAAAGAAGTGGAGAGGCCAGGGTGAGGGATAGGAAGCTCGAGGGAAAGAAACTGTCAGTTGGGACTTTGTTTTGTAACTGCACTGTATGCTTTGAGAAATAAAGCCTTCCCATTCTGTCTGTGAGTTAATTTCTTTGCCAGAAAGTTGCAGATCTGGACACTGTAGCCTTTTCTTCTCCAGGTTAAATATAACCAGCTTCTTAAGCTGCATCTCATGGGGCACACTTTCCATTGTACAGTATTATGGTCTGCTCTATCTAACTTTACATATACTAAGTTACGTAGCAGAGGAGCTAAGAATCTCTGTTAATGAATTACAAAGACTGTGATAGGACAGCAACAAGAGTAATAATAATAATAATAATAATAATCCTTTATTTATACCCCACTACCATCTCCCGAAGGACTCAGTGCGGCTTACAAGAGGCCGAGCCCAAATACATCAATAAAACAACAACGACAACAATACAATAAATAAACTCATAAACAAAGCAAAAACAATAACAATAATATCACGGCGCATTAAAAACCTGAGGCAGGGCCAAATGTAATGGTTAAAATTTAAAAAATGCTAGGCATGTCCAAGTGAAATAGGATAGATATTTTAGGGATAGGTGGGTGAGCAGACAATCCTAAATCTCTCGTAAAGTGCATTTGGGACACACTGCTTGGATTTTCTTATTCCGGGAAGGCACACTGGAACATCCACATTTTCAAGCTCCTTCTAAAGACTGCTAGCGATGTGGCATGCCTTATGTCCTTGGGGAGGGAGTTCCAGAGTCGAGGGGCAACCACTGAGAAGACCCTGTCCCTCGTCCCCACCAATCGTGCTTGCGACACAGGTGGGATCGCGAGCAGGGCCTCTCCAGATGATCGAAGAGACCGTGCAGGTTCGTATACAGAAATGCGGTCACCAAGGTAGACGGGTCCCAAACCGTTTAGGGCTTTGTAGGTAAGCACCTGCACCTTGAATTGGGACAGGAAAATGAACGGCAGCCAAAGTACCTCAATGGGCTTCAACATTCTCTAGTCAGAGTCCTGCTGCACAAAGGAGCCAATGCAAAACAGGACTGATGTGCATTGTGCATTATTCCCACTGCATATCAGTCATTACGAACACTCGCTTTCCTGGCTGTGGGTATTAAAGGAACAAGGATACAGAGAGTATTTAGAAGACTAATATGATTATTTAAAAAATGGCAAAATGACTCACCAAGTGAAATGCGGAGAGGAAAAAATGTGCCATATACTCAATGCATTCAATCAGCTTGCTAAAGGTTTCATCATGAATGGAGAAATAGTGTCCAAAAACCACGCTGGAGATCACGTTGGAGATGGAGTGGAACAGGGGCAAAGACGGGTCAAAAGCCTTCCCTTGAAAACAACACAGGTACTGAATGTCACAATTAACAGTTTGGGTGTGATAAAGCTCTAATGAGGAGAAGAACAAATCCATACAATACATTTGGACTATTCACCTCCCTCTCGCAATGAAAGGACATTATTCCTTTGTGTCTTGAATCCTGTTGATGAAAAACATAAATGGAGTGGAGTCTCAACTGACCAGCACCCATAGAGATTGGTAGATGCCAGATAAATACAGATTCTGGTCAGTTGAGAGTTACTAATAAAAAATACTCCATACCATACCACAAACTCTGTATTGACTTGATGTAAATAATTAAAAGAAAATTAAGACAAATAAAGACATACTTAACACATTGTAACACAGTTTTGTTGTATTATAAAAACAGCTTTGTGAATACGGTATGCAATACAGTATTATTTCTTCTTCTGCTGGTTGCTTGAGAGTTCTGATTGCCTGAGTTCTGGTTAACTGAGAGTCTAAGGTGTAAGTTGCACTATGTGTGTGGAGGGATTTTTTGGATATTGTGGAATGTGTCTAGTCAATAACGGCAGAATTGTGGAAGGTGAGTACACAGTTTACCTGTCCAAACTTATCTCCCTCTATGAGCCAACTAAGAGGTTAAGATTGTCTGGGGGAGTCCTACATGTTCAGATTCCATCTGAACATGAGGAAGAACTTCTTGACTGTGAGAGCCATTCAGCAGTGGAACTCTCTGCCCCGGAGTGTGGTGGAGGCTCCTTCTTTGGAAGCTTTTAAACAGAGGCTGGATGGCCATCTGTCAGGGGTGATTTGAATGCAATATTCCTGCTTCTTGGCAGAGGGTTGGACTGGATGGCCCATGAGGTCTCTTCCAACTCTTTGATTCTATGATTCCTAGTCCCACCCCCAGGTGTGGTTGGCAGGGCCTTCTTAGTGGCGGCCCCTCGGCTATGGAACTCCCTCCCAAATTAAATTAGATCAATCCACTCCCTCCTGACCTTCAGGAAAAGACTAAAGATGTGGTTGTGGGACCAAGTGTTCAGTTATTAACCCATGAGAATAATGAAATCGTGCAATGACATTTTGAAATGGCCTGGACTATGATTTTGGACAACGTGATTTTAATAAGTGTTTTTAAGGTTTGGTATGTTTTCAATGATTTTTTAAAATATTTGTTTATTTTTTATGAATGTATGTCAGTGGTTCTCAACCTTCCTAATGCCGTGACCCCTTAATATAGTTCCTCATGTTGTGTTGACCCACAACCATAAATTTATTTACGTTGCTACTCCATAACTGTAATTTTGCTACTGTTTTGAATTGTAATGTAAATATCTGATATGCAGGATGTATTGCCACTCACTGGACCAAATTTGGCACAAATACCCGATATGACCAAATTTGAATACTGGTGGGGTCGTGGGGGAATTGATTTTGTCATTTGGGAGTTGTAGTTGCCGGGATTTATAGTTCACCTACAATCAAAGAGCATTCTGAACTCCACCAACGACTTTAGATGAACTACTTGGCACATCTGGAGCTCTTTGGGGGAAATTCACCTTGAATTGAGGAAGCTGTAGTTTACCTACATCCAGAGAGCACTGTGAACCCAAACATCAATGGATCTGGACCAAACTTGCCATAAATATTCAATATGCACAAATGTGAACATTGGTGGAGTTTGAGGAAAATAGACTTGGGAGTTGTAGTTGCTGGGATTTATAGTTCATCTATAATCAAAGAGCATTCTGAACCCCACCAATGATAGAATTGGGCCAAACTTCCCCATGACCAATGGAAAATACTGTGTTTTCTAATGGTCTTTGGTGACCCCTCTGACACCTCCTTGCGACCAAGGGTCCCGACCCCCAAGTTGAGAAATGCTGATGTATGTTAACATGGCATCGAGTCATCGCCTATATATGCAAGGCGCCTTGAGTCTCCTATGGGGTTGAGAAAGGCAGGGTATAAATAGGGATGTGGCTCTTAATGAGACATACCGCATTATCACGGGGTGTCTGCGCCCTACACCACTGAAGAAACTACACTGTCTAGCCGGTATTGCACCACCTGACATCCGCCGGGAAGTAGCAACCAGTAGTGAAAGGACCAAGGCAGAGACATCTCCAGCTCATCCCCTGTTTGGGTATCAGCCAGCACGTCAACGACTTAAATCAAGAAATAGTTTTCTAAGATCTACAGAGACACTCACTGGAACACCCCAGCAAGCGAGAGTCCAAAAGTGGCAGGCTCAAACCCAGAACCTCAACCAATGGCTGATACCAAATGAGAGACTCCCTCCTGGGCACACAGAAAACTGGGCGACTTGGAAGGCGCTGAACAGACTGGGCTCTGGCACCACGAGATGCAGAGCCAACCTTCAGAAATGGGGCTACGCAGTGGAATCCACAAGATGCGAGTGTGGAGAAGAGCAAACCACTGACCACCTGCTGCAATGCAACCTGAGCCCTGCCACATGCACCATGGAGGACCTTCTTGCGGCAACTCCAAGTGGTCAGCTACTGCTCAAAGGACATTTAATCAACTACCAAGCTTGCAAACTTTGTGTGTTGTCTGCTTGTTTGTTTGTTTTGTTAAAAATGTAATACAAATGTCTGGTTGCTCCTGACACGATAAATAAATAAATAAATTAATTAATAGTGTAAGTAAATAAAAAAATTGAAGGTTACTTTGATTTGATTTGTTAATGCAAAAGGGATTTTTTAATGGAAAAGAATATTGAAGTTAGAAGGAAAAGATGGCAAATTTAGTAACTGTTGATTAGGTAAGGTGTTCTAGTACTTTGAAAATACTTGTTTTACATATTGAAATACAAATTACTTTAATGAAATAGTTAGATGAAGCAATTTAAATCCTTGCCTTGAAAGAGATCATTAAGCCTCATTTTATAAAGATAATTAAGGGGTATTAAGAAGTGAGAACGGTGATTAAGTAATTATCCCTTTTTCAGTTTACTGGAACACAGTGTTCACGTTCACTATTGCACAAAGTATGTTGAAGTCCTAGAGGTACAGAAATCTGAAGTCATGCTAGGCAACATCAAAACTGGCTTAGAATGGATTACCAGCAAGAATCTCTCCGGGTTTCCGTGTGCCTTGTGAATAGGCAGTGCCTCTGGACAACAGAAGTAATACTTTCAAACCACTTTAAGTGCTATGGCTCAATGCTGTGGAATCATGGGAGTTATAGTTTTGCACTATGTGAGGTACCAGCACTATTTGTTAGAGAACGCTAAATGTCTTGTATAAATACAACTCTGGGATTCCATAGTATTAGTTCAGGTCAATTACAGTGGTGTTAAGCCATTGATTCTACAACAATGTTTCTCAAACTGGGGGTCAAAACTCCTGGGGGGGGGTCATGATGGGGGTGTCAGAGGGGTCACCAAAGACCATCAGAAAACAGTACTTTCTTTTGATCATGGGGGTTCTGTGTGGGTAGTTTGGGCCAGTTATATCATTGGTGGGGTTCAGACTGCTCATTGATTGAAGGTGAACTATAAATCCCAGCAAATACAACTCCCAGATGTCAAGGTCTATTTTCCCCAAATTCCATCAGTGTTCACATTTGGGCATATTGAGTATTCGTGCCAAATTTGGTCCAGATCCATCATTGTTTGAGTACACAGTGCTCTCTGGATGTAGGCGAACTACAACTCCAAAACTCAAGGTAAATGCCTACCAAACCCTTCTAGTATTTTCTGTTGATCATGGTAGTTCTGTGTGGCAAGTTTGGTTCAATTCCATCATTGGTGGAGTTCAAAGTGCTCTTTTGATTGTAGGTGAACTATAAATCCCAGTAACTACAACTAAAAAATCAATCCCCTCCAACTCCACCAGTAAATTGCAGTTATGAAGTAGCAATGAAAATAATTTTATGGTTGCGGGTCATCACAACATGAGGAACTGTATTAAGAGGTTGTGGCATTAGGAAGGTTGAAAACCACTGTTCTACAATATAGATGTTTCCAGGGAGGTTACATCTTCATTTATTTTCTTGCATGTAACAGTGAACAATTTGAAAGTTTTCTTCCTTCTGGGGCAATGGGGATTTGGTTTTTCAGGTTAAAACTTGGTTAGGAACATTTAATGCAAAAAATGTGCAAAACATTATTTATACCTTTTGAATAAACCTAAATATTTTGTGCTAAATATCGGCTGGTATGTAGCTCCATATTGATGCGACCACAAGCTGGTTTTGCAATCTTGAAACTTCTGGCATTTGTGTTTATGGTCATGGTCCGTCTTCCAGGAGCATAGTTTGCATTACCTTTTAGTTGCATGGGATAGTGTTCTTTTGCATTTCCCCAGGGCTGCTACAGACCCAGCAGCACCCTGGAAGTTAAACAGTATCAGAGTCTGCAAAGCCAGACTGCAGGCCCACTGCAGTTATTGGTTTAGAAAAGTATCTCTTTGGGTGTAGAGACCGCCCTTTTCCCAGGGGATGAGATCTCCATTTTGGAATCTCCCCTGCCTCCTTCAGTTTTAGAGAGAAGCCTCAGATGTGCTGTAAGGCCAGTCAGAGAGCTCTCTGAAAATATCATTGTAAGTACAATTGAGTAAAGGAAAGGATTGAGTTGATTGAGTGACTGGGTTATATAGATAAAGAAGCTAATTGAGATAGATAGCAATTGAGTTATAGATAGCAATTGAGATATAGAAAAGTTATTGAATATTATTGAGCAGTACTTCATCTCCAAAGCTAACCTTGAGCTAGAGATAGGAATAAAACTTGTTTTTCTAACCATAGCAGCTCAGGGTTAGGGTAAAACGATCCCAGGATATTTTCTACCTTTTGGGGAAGAGTTACCTCAGTAACTGAAGAAAAAAGAAAGAAGGATCATCTCTATGGTTTCACCCACTGACTGTTTTGTTTGTAACTTTGACAAGCTGTGCCAAGCCTGCAAGGACTTTGAGAAATAAATATTCTGTTTTGGTGTTCAAAGCCTGTAGTAGCCTCAGTTGCTGGGAATCTCAAGCTTCTAAAAAAAGGCCTCCGCAGTCTGCCCGGACAAAGAGAGAAGCACATCTTAGTTTTATTTTTATAGGATCTGGGTGTGACGGCACAGGCCATGAGTGACTAAATGTGCCCCATCCCCAAATTAACCCCTTAAACCAGGAATACCCCAAGAGAAGAGCTTCTGAGCGAATGAATGAATGAGCTGTTGTTGATGGGAGGCTGGGAAATTGAAATTGCAGTGCCTCTCTCAATGTGCCCTGAGAAAGGATTTTGTCATTATTTCCCATTGCAGAACCTACAAAAACAGATATTGCAAGTCTGATTCTATCCGCAGGCAGAACTCCTCTCCACAGAAAGAAACAAATGGTATTATTTGGACCATAGAATTGCAGCCTTAGAAACAACAATCTTCCTCACCTTTCTTGCTTGAAAAAATCTCCACCAGCTTGCCAGCCTCCTCTTGCACTCGATACTCTAAAGACTTCCTTCCCAGACCTAAAGACCTCAGCGTGGCCATTGCAAAACGTCTTTGCTCCTTCCAGGCAGGTCCGCTTGAAAAGAGAATTCCTGTGGGCACAGACATTTTTGTTAAACAGGATAGGAGTATAGTGTCAAGATTGAGGGAAGCTACAGCCTCCCTCTATTCTGCTTTTGCAGACCCCACATGGAATAAGAATGTGCCCAGTTGTGGCCATTACAATGCAAGAAGGCGATGGACAAGATGGTAAGTATTCTGTCATGCATTGGACCTGTAATAATTGTCTTTGAAATAGGACGTGCACCTTGTGCCCAGCGGGAAGCCAGGGCGCCATGAAAGAGGCCCTCAAGTATTTTCCTGAAGAAATGGTCTTTAGATAGCTTGAAAGGTTAAACAAAGTCCTTTATTATTGAACAAATTAAACAGATATTTCTCAAATCTTCAATGAGTCAAACAAAGGCTTCAAGGCTTTAAATCAACTGGTGGCTTCCTTAATCTTGTCCACAAGGGACAGGCAACTGTCTTCTAGGCCTGTGCGGTTTAGTTCGTTAATTCGTTATTTCGTTATTAATTCGTTACTTTTACCATTTCCGAAGCGATATTGAAACATATTTCCAAACCCGGAAGGGTTTTTAAATATCGAACCAGCAGCCCCCATAGTTTTAACGAGCCTCCGCTCGTTTCGTTAATGGGGTGGAGGCTGCTGGAGTGCTGGTGCATGGGAGCCAATCCGGCGCTCCCAAGCAGTGCACCATGGGTCCGTGGCTGCCTGTTTTTGATTGGCCGGCGAGCCCTTTCAAAGCGGCTCCGCGCGGCCCGTAGCTTCAAGAGGGCGAGGGAGTTTGCATTGGGTTGGCTTGGCAATGGCTGCTAGCAACTCGGATTGGATTCATTCCTTGCTGCTGTGAGTGCTGCTTGCTTCATTTGCTGTCTCTTGCCTGTGTTTGGTCCACATTTGGGCCATTTTTTGGTTAATTTTCCATTTTAAAATATTTTTAATATTATTTTTAATATTATTTTTAATATTATTTTTAATATTATTTTTTAATATTATTCTTAAAAAATATTCTAAAAAAGAAAAGACTCTTCTGTTGGTGTGTGCTCTCATTTGCTGTCTCCTGCCTGTGTTTGGTCCACATTTGGGCCATTTTTTGGTTAATTTTCCATTTTAAAATATTTTTTAATATTATTTTAATATTATTTTTTAATTATTTTAATATTATTTTTAAAAAAATATTCTAAAAAAGAAAAGACTCTTCTGTTGGTGTGTGCTCTCATTTGCTGTATCCTGCCTGTGTTTGGTCCACATTTGGGCCATTTTTTGGTTAATTTTCCATTTTAAAATATTTTTTAATATTATTTTAATATTATTTTTTAATATTATTTTAATATTATTCTTAAAAAAATTCTAAAAAAGAAAAGACTCTTCTGTTGGTGTGTGCTCTCATTTGCTGTATCCTGCCTGTGTTTGGTCCACATTTGGGCCATTTTTTGGTTAATTTTCCATTTTAAAATATTTTTTAATATTATTTTTAATATTATTTTAATATTATTCTTAAAAAATATTCTAAAAAAGAAAAGACTCTTCTGTTGGTGTGTGCTCTCATTTGCTGTATCCTGCCTGTGTTTGGTCCACATTTGGGCCATTTTTTGGTTAATTTTCCATTTTAAAATATTTTTAATATTATTTTAATATTATTTTTAATATTATTTTAATATTATTCTTAAAAAATATTCTAAAAAAGAAAAGACTCTTCTGTTGGTGTGTGCTCTCATTTGCTGTATCCTGCCTGTGTTTGGTCCACATTTGGGCCATTTTTTGGTTAATTTTCCATTTTTAAATATTTTTTAATATTATTTTAATATTATTTTTTAAAAAAAATATTCTAAAAATTCGTTAATATTTAAAAAATTTCTTAAATACCAAAACTTTTTTTGGAAAGTTTTGTAATTAATTTAAATATCGAAACAAAAAAACACCCCAATTACAAATCGATTTTAGAAACAAATTTTTTCTTGACAGACAGGCAACTGTCTTCGTTAATTGTTCTTATACTTTGAGAGGAAAACCCTTTTTTAACCTCTCCCAGGCTGTCTGTTATCTAAGTTTTGTTGGTGTGGGATCTACTACCGATTCCAAACTGCGTCTTGGTACCAAGTAAACCTACCAGACAAAGCTTGTAGATTCTCCAGCTGGAGTTCTTTGGGTCTGTAAAGCTGTTTTCCCTCTGGAATTTCTTTAAGACTTTAGGGCTGTTTCCCTCAGATGCTGAGAGGCTGCAAGCTCCCAACCAGAGCTTTGGGAATTTCCCCCCGGAATGTCTTGAGAAATGAAGCTTTTCTGCAGGTGAAGCTTGTCCACGTCCTCTAACTTAGCTTTCCTCACTAAGACTAACTAAAATGCCCCCCTCTTCCCTTCCCATCTCCCTGGGAGAAGGGGTGGAGCCAAACTTAACAATGATAGACAGGTGGCTTGCCCTATGACTGCAAACCAAAAGAAGCCACCTTTTTGCAGAATCCCTGAAACTTTGGAATGCATGCAAACACTTAATAGAAAGAAAATAAAGTTGGAGCTCCTGGTACAGACGTACCAGCACAGTAGATGTCCTGAGAAGAGAGACCAAAATGGTCAGAGGTTTGGAAACCAAGCCTTTTGAGGAAAGACTGAGGGAGCTGGGTATGTTTAGCTTAGAGTAAAGAAGGCTGAGAAGGTACATGGAAGCCATGTTTAAACATTTGAAAGGGTGTTGGGTTATTGTAGGTTTTTTGGGCTGTATGTCCATGTTCTAGAAGTATTCTCTCCTGATGTTTCACCTGCATCTAAGGCAAGCATCCTCAGAGAACCTCACAACCTCTGAGGATGCTTGCCACAGATGCAGGCGAAACCTCAGGAGAGAATACTTCTAGAACATGGACATACAGCCCAAAAAATCTCCAACAACCCAACACTGACTCTACCCATGAAAGCCTTCAACAATACATTTGAAAGGCTGTTGCATTGAGGAAAGTTTTAATATAAACACCTGATGACCTATCCAAAGCTCAGTACTTTGGGTAGCTCTCTTAAAGTTTGGCATGGAATCCAGAGTGGATTAACTTGCCCATTAACCTGACAGAGACAAACCACCACTGTTGACGCTCCTATTACAGTTGGGTAAGATGTTTGGAGAAGAGCAGTATCAGTAGGCTTACCTTTCCCCTTCATTGAGTCTCTAATAAAAGGCGTCACCACTCGCCAATTAGTTTCTTCAGCTTGGTTTATGAGGACTTGCTTCACTGCATGGAACCCATTTACTACAACAATAGGCATGGGCCCAATCCAGATGGTGAAGACTTTCCCATACACTTTGGATAACTGCATGATAATTTCAGAAAGCACAGTTTTGGATACAAGGATGAAAGCCAGTTCACATGAGCAAAACATGAATACAGGCCGCCTCCGAGTTACAACTACCCAACTTACATGTTTGTTATGTTATTGTTTAATTTTTGGTAATGTGTTATTACTTTTGATGTAGATGTGGTTATGTTCTGGGTTTGGGTAACTTGGGTATTTGTCCTGGTCTAGTTTTGATGACATTGAGTGTTTGTCGATATTTGTTGTTAACTGCCCTGAGTCCCCTTGGGGAGATAGGGTGGGTGTGCTGGCACAGCAGTGCCAGGAGATTTTAACCTCTTTTTCTTGCACTGCTAGTTTGTATGAATTTATTTAAGCCATGCTTTTTGCAATCAGGTAGCTTCCCCAAGTTGCAGTCATAGGGCCAGCAACCTGGAAATCATCATTAGAGTCTTTAGACCCGCCCTTTTCCCCAGGGTTTTGGAGGCAAAGGAGGACTTTTGTTCAGTCTCACTGTTTGAAGCCTAACAGCAGGACGTGTGGGTTTCTCTTTCCCACCTGCACAAAGGCTTCACTTCTCACAGCTCTGCTGGGGGAGTAAAGGAATTTCCTCCGCTTTTGCTGGGGGAATACTGCCAGCTTTTGCTGGGGCTAAAGAAATAGTTCCCATAGCCTTCATGGAGAAACTAAAGGACACCTTTCAGCTTGGCAGATCTACAGGAACCTTGCCTGGTAAGGGACCACTCGGACTATCCATAAAGCAGCTTGGAGCCGGGAGTAGGGGGGCCTCACGCCAGCAAGGTAAAGAGAGATTGCCCAAGGAGGGGTCAAAGGATTTCCCTAAGGAAGAAAGGAACAGTTTACCACCAGTTGCCTGCCTCTTGTTGGCAGATTGAGGAAGCTACCGGTTTTCCAAGGTTATGAAGTGTTTAATTCATTTGTTTGAAGATTTAAGCCCAAATAAAGAACTTTGTTGAACTTCACTTGAGCCTCAATAGAACTTTGTGTTGGGAAATCTAAAGGTCCCTTCAGCTGAGGCACCCCAGCGTCCCGTTGGGCATTCAGAGAGCACCTCCTGTAAACAGACATTATTTCAGGCCCAGCGTGTGACAGCACAGTGGGATATAAATACATTATTATTATTATTATTATTATTATTATTATTATTATTATTATTATTATTAGAAACACAACAAGATGAGTCTACAGCAGACGCTCTGCTGGCTGTTGAATTGGCGTCAGACACTTCCCAAGTGTCTAGTACTGTGTGATGTATCGGCCAATAATGCGTGCAGACCCTAGTAAGGTGGCCTTTTGCAGCTGACAGCTGGTAATTTTGTCAGCGCCGATTGTGTTTAAGTGCAGGCCAAGGTCTTTAGGCACTGCACCCAGTGTACCAATCACCACTGGGACCACCTTGTCTGGCTTGTGCCAGAGTCTTTGCAGTTTGATCTTTAAATCCTCATATCGTGTCAGCTTTTCCAGTTGTTTCTCTTCAATCCTGCTGTCACCTGGGATTGCAACATCGACAATCCATACTTTGTTTTTAACAAGACTGTGAGGTTATTATTATTATTATTATTATTATTATTATTATTATTATTACTCTTATTTAAGAATGGGGGTGAGACAACAGAAAGTGAGAGAAATCTACCCCTTGGAAGGTAAATTAAGTCCTGAAAGAGTTACTGTCATGGGGAATAGAGGTCTCTACTGAAAATTTATCACCAATCCTTATTGACACGGCAAGCCAAAATGTTCAAAATCCAGTTCTCAAAGGGACAGAAAATGAGGTAAAATTGTCTGAACAGGGACACAGGCAGCAAAACAAACACCACAGAGGTGTTAACCCTTCTCTGTGCTATCCAAAGCAAGATAATAATAATAATAATAATAATAATAATAATAATAATACTTTATATTCTGCTCTATCTTCCCGGAGGGACTCAGGGTGGATTCCAAACATATAAGGCAAACATTCAATGCCTGAATACAACAACAATACACCCATACAAACAAAATGTAAACAACACAACATATAAATACAAAATTGTACCTTTACAACTAAAATTAAACAAAAACACAGCCTGTTACAACAGACATAAGACAAAACACACACACACACATATATAGCTAGAGTTAAACTCTAAAATGTATCTGTTTTGACTTTCTGTACATGCACATTCAACTTAAGAACAAACCTACAGAACCTATCTCGCTCGTAACTTGGAGACTGCCTGTAATATCAATTTGCAGTAATGCTTGCTGAAACTTTGGGTGCATTTATTTACACTGTAGAATGAATGAGGCTTGACACCACTTCAACTGCCATGGCTCAATGCTGCAAAATTCTGGGATTTGCAATTTGGTGATGCACCAACACTCTTTTCAACAGAAGTTGAAAGACCTAGTAAAACTACAACTCCCAGAAATCCTAAGCATTGAGACATGGCAGTTAAAGTGGTGTCAAATAGCGTTACAGCAGCATTTCTCAACCTGGGGGTCAGGACCCCGGGGGGGGGGCAGTTGCGAGGGGTTGCCAAAGACCATTGAAAAACACAGTATTTTCTGTTCTGGTCATGGAGGTTCTGTATAGGAAGTTTGGCCCCATTCTTTCATTGGTGGGGTTCAGAATGTTCTTTGATTGTAACTACAAATCCCAGCAACTACAACTCCCAAATGTCAAGATTTATTTTCACCGAACTCCACCAGTGTTCACATATGAGCAAATGGAGCATTCATGCCAAGTTTGGTCCAGATCCATAATTGGAGAAATATCAAATTCAACCAAATGTTGGAATGCACAAATATAAGGTTTCTAATAAACTAAAACGGGGAGGGCAGGATGTCACAGTATTTTGGTCCAATGTACTCTTGGAGCCTTCCTCACTTTCCATGAAACGAAATAGCATCTAAAATTCACAGTGTATGATAACAATATAAGTCCAGCATAATACTTACTAAACTTTGTTGAAATCCCAGAAACACAAAATGCAAACAAATGACTACCTGGGGTATCTAGAGTATCTAGATCTTTCAAATCTCAGTTCAGCATTCTGACCATTGCATCATAAATAATAGGTACATTAAAATGATAGGGAAAATATACCTTTGAGAGAGTGTTTTGTTGCCAAGAGAAGCCAAAACACCAAAGAGTCCCCAGGATAGGGACCGGCATTGGTCCAGGTGGAAACTGCCGACGGTCCCACTGTAACTTCAAAAACAATAGAATTAAAAGAAATACCACTAAAACTGTCCAATATCCACCCATCTCCATCTCTAGTCTGTTTTGGAATATCAAGTGCAGGAAATACTGGTGCTTCCTTCTTTGAAAGTCTTCTCCGCCCCATTAATCTCAGTTATTTATTGGCCAGTCGTGTGAACTGTCAGGGTACTTCAGACCAAATATGTGGGTGGCATAATCCATGGAGATAACATCTAACCATTTTTCGGGGATGGGCACTGGGCCACCCCCCGCACAGCTGAATAAATTCCCACATTATTGGCTTTGAACTGGAATATATGTCAGTGTGAACTCAGATACCCCTAGCTGTTGAAAGAACATGAACCAGTTGACACTGATTGCATGAAAAGAGGTTTCATCTAAATATAACGAAGACCATTATTAAAAATTGAAGAACAATTCAATAGTGACTAGATTGGTTGTTTTGATTGTAGGCTTTTCATGTACAGAGGTCTTCGAATTGAAAGGGTCTTTGAGTGAAATTTGCAAATGCTAAGCTTTGAATGAAATTAACAGCAAAAGAGAAACATACCCTTTCTCTGTAGAAAAAGAGCAACACGGAAGAAAATGTTTTTAAGAAACAAGATGTGACATGTAGAGGTCTGAAGTTGTATTGTGGTTAAATTCAAAGGTTGTAGTTAAGTGCAGAGTCTGCAGGTACAAGGAGGTACTTTCCATCAAAAGGTCAAGGGAGGAGGCTGGAAAAAGAGTACTTTCCATGACAAAAAATGTTCTTGTTTACTTGAGGTTATATATCGGTGGTCAAAAGCCAAGGGGAGGGGGCAGTCACTTGAAGGGTAGCATCTGCATATGCTGCCAGGCTGTCCGTCTTCTTCATGAAGAAGCAGGAACATGCAATCCAATCACTCCTGATAGATGGCCACCCAACCTCTGCTACACAATCACCAGAGAAGGCGGCTTCATTGGACTCCAAGGGCCCATCCAGAAAGCCCCCTTCTTGCGGAAACTTTCATAATCAAAAGGGGTTGCCCATATGATGTTCTGGCCAACCCACAATTAATTTGCCACAAACCAGGAAAACCCCGGTTTGTGATGAATTAATTAGATAGTGGATTTATTCCATGCCTTCTTGGAAGGTGTGGGATGAACTCACTACTTCCAGTGTCTGGACTGCAGTCCAGACACTATTCCCACAGTTTTCTGGACTAAATTAGTCCGGAAAACTTGGGAATTCCAACCCCCTCTCCCAAACCCTAAAGTCCCCTTGAAAAGTAAGGAAAACTTAGATGACCTCCAGTAGAGTTGTTGTAGGTTTTTTCGGGCTATATGGCCATGGTCTAGAGGTATTCTCTCCTGACGTTTCGCCTGCATCTATGGCAAGCATCCTCAGAGTTAGACCTCACTACCTCTGAGGATGCTTGCCATAGATTCAGGCGAAACGTCAGGAGAGAATGCCTCTAGACCATGGCCATATAGCCCGAAAAAACCTACAACAGCCCTTCGACACTCCAGTAGAGTGTTGCCAGAATTCTCCTGGCATGCATGAGGGGCTGTTGTAGCACCAAAGTCCTTTGCCAATATAACTTTACCGCATCCTGACATTTGCCCAGGGATCAAGAAATGAGGCAGGAGAGCAAATCCTTCAATACAATTTGAGCACCATTATTGTTTATTTGGCCCTGGAGACCTAAATTTCAGGTATTCCTGTTCTACCTCTTTACCTCCTTGGTGCTGTATTTCCTCTACTGAATCATCTCCCTTTGCCCTAGGCACCAATTTTCTTTTGGGAGACAACCAAGATGACAAATGCAGTTCTACCTTTTTTTCTGCTCCCTGTAAGGATTTTAGTATTAAAACTTGTGCGCCAGCCACACCCGTACCTTGGAAAGTCAGACTTGGCCACGATGGTCCATGCTCTTGTTACATCTAAGATAGACCATTGCAACGCACTATACGTGGAGTTGCCTTTGAAGACTGCTCGGAAGCTTCAACTAGTCCAACGAGAGGCAGCCAGGTTAACAACTGGGGCGGCATACAGGGAGCATACAACTCCCATGTTACGCCAGCTCCACTGGCTGCCAGTTTGCTACCGGGCACAATTCAAAGTGCTGGCTTTGGCCTATAAAGCCCTAAATGGCCCCGGCCCAAATTACCTGTCTGAACGCATCTCTCCCCAAGAATCATCACAGAGATTAAGATCCTCTGGGGAGGCCCTGCTTTCAGTCCCGCCATTGTCACAGGCATGATTGGTGGGGACGACATCTCAACATCAGTAACGGAGCAGCAAATGCTAGCCCACAGTAGTGTACCCGAAAAAACCTACAACAGCCCTTCGACACTCCAGTAGAGTGTTGCCAGAATTCTCCTGGCATGCATGAGGGGCTGCTGATAAGTCTTTGGCTTTACCCCCCAAAAAAATGAAAGAGGGAGATGAAACTTTACCTTTATTCCACATACTCCCCACTGATATCAACACACTACTTACATCAGTATTCCAAGTTCTGTAACTTGGAATACTGTTACAGAACAGAAGGATTTCGGTTGCATCTCAAACCAGTCATCCATAACAGCCATGGTATCAGAAATGGTGTGAAATTTATTGATTTATTTACAGTATTTATATTCTGCCCTTCTCACCCCGCAGGGGACTCAAAATTTTTTGTACCTTTGAGGTGTTTCTACAGGTTTGGAAACAGATGATAGTCAGAGGGAGATAAATCTGGTGAATAAGGTGGGTGGACAACCAGCTGGAATCCTAGCTCCACCAGTTTTACCATGGTCGCTTGTGCAGTGTGAGCGGAGGCGTTGTCTTGCAGGAACAAGATTCCTTTGGACAGCTTACCATGTCTTTTGGCCTTCAGAACTGCCTTCAGTTGGTCCAAAAGTTGTGTAATACCTTGCATTGATGGTGGAACCATTTTGAAGGTAGTCCACTAGCAGCACACCCTCCTTTTCCCAGAACACAGATGCCATCACCTTAGTGGCTGATTTTTGCACCCTGAACTTTTTTGGATGAGGAGAACCACTGTGCCTCCACTCTTTTGACTCCTCCTTGGTTTCAGGGTCATACAAATAAATCCAGGTCTCATCCATAGTGTCCAGTCGATCCAGGAAGTTCTTATCAGTTCGGAAACACTGACAAAAGGACCAGGAAGTTTTCACTTGCATGCTTTTCTGATCTGTTGTCAAACATTTCAGGACCCACTTTGCAGAGCGCTTCTTCATATTCAAATGTTCATGATTAATGACACAAACATGTTTATGAGTCTCCAGGTGTTCTCCTGGGCCAGTCCCGGAAGAACATCTCAACACCCACCCCAGAAAGTACACACTTTCTTGGGTGTGTGTGGATGCAATGAATAAGGTGTGTTTTTTAAACCCGGATGCTCTTGGGATAAAGGACTGTGTGGAAGTGCCCCAAGGCAATATATTCCACTGCTGAACCACTGCTGAACCATTGTTTATGGCAATGGTTTCTAACCATTTGGTCCCCCAAGTGTTTCCTAACAGCCGGTAAGATGGCTGGGATTTCAAGGAATTGGTCCAAAACACCTGGAGAACTAAAGGTTTGAAACCACTGGTTTAGGGAAATCTCATTTTATGCAAAGCAAATCCACTGCTCCATGTCCTGCAAACTGGCTTCATCTTCAAGAAGACATCCTTTCAAATAGAATCATAGAATCATAGAATCAAAGAGTTGGAAGAGACCTCATGGGCCATCCAGTCCAACCCCATTCTGCCAAGAAGCAGGAATATTGCATTCAAATCACCCTCGACAGATGGCCATCCAGCCTCTGTTTAAAAGCTTCCAAAGAAGGAGCCTCCACCACACTCTGGGGCAGAGAGTTCCACTGCTGAACGGCTCTCACAGTCAGGAAGTTCTTCCTAATGTTCAGATGGAATCTCCTCTCTTGTAGTTTGAAGCCATTGTTCCACGTCCTAGTCTCCAAGGAAGCAGAAAACAAGCTTGCTCCCTCCCTGTGGATTCCTCTCACATATTTATACATGGCTATCATATCTCCTCTCAGTTAAATGTCACCTCTTCATTTTCTTTTCTTTTGGCTTTCAGATTTTTGAATGTTTTCGTCAGCCTCCTCTGAACATGTTACAGTTGTCAATATCCTTCTTGAATTGTGGTGCCCAAAACTGAGCACATAGCATCAAAGCAGAATAGAGTGGGTCTATGATTTCCCTTGACTTAGACACTATACTCATATTTATGGAACCTAGAATCACATTTGCTTTTTTAGCTGTCACATCACATTGTAGATTCCTATTCAGCTTGTGGTCTACTAAGGGCCCTTCCACAGAGCCCTATATCCCGGAATAGCAAGGCAGAAAATTCCACAATATCTGCTTAGAACTGGGTTATCTGAGTCCACACTGCCATGTATTCCAGTTCAAACAGATAATGTGGGATTTTCTGCCTTGATATTCTGGGATATAGGGCTCTGTGGAAGGGCCCTTAGATTCCTGGATCTGCTGGTGGTCCGGGATTGAGCAGATGGTGTTTCCACCTCCCTTCTGCCAATGAGCAAGCTGCAAATGAAGGAGGACCTCTGTCATAATCTCTTGTAGCAACCTAATTCACTGTAGGAGGGAAGTAGAAACTGAATCCGTGCCCTGATTTCCAGGTGAACTGTGGTTTTCAACTGTTTTGATGGTTTTTGATTGTGAACTTTTTAGTGCTGTATGTGTTTAATTCTATTTTGATGTTTGCATTTTTGTATATTTTAAATTGTATACTAATCTCCCTGGAGAGATAGGGTGGGTTATATATAAAGTATTATTATTACTATATTGACACAAAAGCACAGTATGTCACAGCAAATGAGACATATATGTTGGATTTCGTATCACAAAATCACAAGTCGAACACTTCCCAAGCGTTTAAGACTGTGTGACATATTTTTGAATGATACAGCAGATCCAAGTAAGGTGGCCTTTTGCAGTTGACAGATTGTGGATTTTGTCAATGTTTATTGTTTCCAAATGCTGGCTGAGATCTTTTGGCACGGCACCCAGTGCGCCAATGACCACCGGGACCACCTGTACTGTTTTATGCCAGAGCCTTTGCAGTTCAATTTTGAGGTCCTGATAACGGCTGAGTTTTTCCT